CCTGATGCCCTGCTCACCGTGGCACTTCGAAAGCCGTGAGTCAGCACCCTGCACCCCCAGGTCCCACATGGCTCCCAGAATTCATAGTTTCTCAGTTTCCTCTCCAAGAGGATTCCTTACTTCTTGCTGAGGGAAAGGACCCTGACTGGACCAGAGGCCTGAGCTCTGGTCTGCATTCTGCCACGGAATTACTGTGTGAGCTGAGCTCTCCTTCCCACCACTGACCCTGCTTCTTCCTCTGTGACTGAGGGTGTGGGGCGCATGACCTCCTGAGACCCTGCCCACTCTGAGGGGCAGCAGTGGCTGAAAGAAGGCAGCCTTTGGAGTCTGCAGGCAGATCTGGGTTCAAATTCCGGCTCCACTGGCTACTAGCGGGGTGACCTTGGAACTCTCCGTGCCAGCTTCCTCTTCTGTCAAAGGAGGATAAGAACGCCCACGTCATGGGGTTGTCGTGGGGGTGGGGGGATGGGGGCTGAAATGATGCGTGCGAAGCGCTTGGTCCTGTGTCTGGCACATAGTGTGCTCTGGGGAAAGGCTGGTCCGTTCATGATAACAGTCCTCATGCGGCACCAGCTGACCCCAGCCAGGCTTATGCTCGATGGGTGAAGTAGCCCCCGTCCCTGGCCTTGGGCCCATAATTCATGCTTTGCTTCCTGGTCCTCCCATGCCTGCAGCCCAGGCCAGCGCACAGACGAGGAGCTGGACCTCATCTTTGAGGAGCTGCTGCACATCAAGGCTGTGGCCCACCTCTCCAACTCGGTCAGTCCACAGGGCCCTTCCCTGCCCTCTCCCCAGGAGCCTCTTCTCCCTGTGACTGTCCGGAGGGGGCCCCAGCTGCTAGGCTAGAAGACACTTCCCTCTCCTTCTGACTAGGGCTCGGAAATTTCCATCTAATTTCCCACCCCCAGCATCCTTGTCTGAAAATCCTTCTGCCCCTCTCAGCCCTTTTCCTCCCGCTGAATCCCAGGACATTTGACCTAGCCACATCTCTGCCCCTGAGCACTGGTGTCTTTGGACCCGACCTCCTCACCCTTAACCCGGCCCTCTGCCCCTGCACTTGACGACTGACATTCCTCTCTTGGCCCTGCAGGTGAAGCGAGAACTAGCGGCAGTTCTGCTGTTTGAACCACACAGCAAGGCGGGGACTGTGTGTAAGTCAGACATTTGATAGGAAGCCTGGCACCAGGGGCCTGGACATGGGTGGAGGGCACAGAGAAGAAGTGGTAGGTGCTGGGAACAGGTCTGATCTGTGCTTCTCTCAGTGTTCAGCCAGGGGGATAAGGGCACCTCGTGGTACATTATCTGGAAGGGATCTGTCAACGTGGTGACTCATGGCAAGGTGGGTTCTCCCTTCCTCCCCAGCCCCCTGGGTTGTAACTGTTCCCCGGTCCGTGTCCTCATGCCTTTGTGGACCCAAGGCTGCTGATCTCCCAGGTCTTCCCCCGACCTTGGTGCTCTCCCCTCCATGGTCCTGTTTCATGAGGGCTGGGGAATGGGTAAGCTGTGACTAAGGCCTGGCTATAGGGGCTGGTGACCACACTGCATGAGGGAGATGATTTTGGACAGCTGGCTCTGGTGAACGATGCTCCCCGGGCAGCCACCATCATCCTGCGAGAAGACAACTGTCATTTTCTCCGTGTGGACAAGCAGGATTTCAACCGTATCATTAAGGTGCCATTGCAGGGGGTGGATAGGGCAGGGGACATGGCAAGGAGACTTCTTTGGAGAAGTGATGTGGGGCAAGAGGAGGGACCAGAGAGAGCCTGTGAGGAGCAGGAAGAGAGAGGAGATGGAGAAGCTCAGAGATGATGGCTGGAGGTGGGAGCACAGCCCAGGGTGAGTGAGGAGATCCATACGTGCTAGGGAGGTTCAGTGAGTCCCGTGAACCACAGCTCGGTGTGGGAGACCAGGGGGTGGGGCTACAGAGGGGTGAGGGCCTAGGGTACAAGGGGGCAGTATAATGAAGACTGGGATCCATGCAGGGAGGCCGGGGAGGGACAGGTTGGAGGAGGGGCTCAGGCTTCGTGATGGGCAGGGGTGGGAGTAGAGGCAGATCCAAACTATGGGCATTGAATGGGGTGGGAGAAGGCCTGAGAGTCCTTGTAGGCTCAGGGTCTGGAATGGGGGAAATGGAGGGAGAGGCTCTAGAATGGGGAAAGGAGTCGTAGTGTGTGCTGAGCACCAGGTGTGGCTTGTTCTCCAGGATGTGGAAGCAAAGACCATGAGGCTGGAAGAACATGGCAAAGTGGTACTGGTGCTGGAGAGAACCTCTCAGGGCGCTGGCCCTTCTCGCCCCCCGACCCCAGGCAGGAACCGGTAACACACCCACCATGCTCCCCCTCTACCTTCTCTCCTTCCATGTCCCAGGCTTTACTGCCTTCCGCCGCATCATACCCCTGCCCGCTGACCTCCTAGAGGTGGAGAGGCATCCAGGGACTAAGATGTATCCCCTGAGCCAGCCTCCACTCCACCCTAAGGTGGGGCAGGACTGGCAAACGGGGAAGAGTGATATGATTATTGATGTCTGCACTGGCTGTGGGAGGGGGTAGTAGTGGCACAAGGGCATGGATGGCCATTTCTGCTAGGTATACGGTGATGTCTGGTACCCCAGAGAAGATCCTAGAACTGCTGTTGGAGGCCATGAGACCTGATTCCAGTGCTCATGACCCAACAGGTAGGGGCAGGAGACACCCTGCCTGCTCTCTGACTCATTGGGTGGTCAAGTGCAGCCTGGGAGCGGGCCAGACACCTGCATGTGACCTCACTGGGTGCTGGGTTGGTCTGTGGGGCCTGTCGGCAGGAAGTCCTCATTCCTGTGCTCTTGGCTTGGGTGGGGAGCACAGTCATGGGGGCTGGGCATTGCTGGTACCTTGCCTGTGGTGGGATTAGGGGATGGACGCCCCAGCTGTGCCTGCAGCTATGCTCAGTGGACTTGACCTCTGAAGCCCCGCCTGTCACCATCTCCCTACCCTACAGAGACATTCCTCAGCGACTTCCTCCTGACCCACAGTGTCTTCATGCCCAGCGCCCAGCTCTGTGCTGCCCTCCTGCACCAATATCCTTCCAGACTCAGGGTAACTAGGATGGTGTGGAGAGCAGGGAGAAAGAATTGCTCATAGCATGGCTGTGCCAAACCCTCCAAAATACCAGCCTCATGCCAGGCCCAGCTTGTCAGCGGGCCCTGGGTATCCTGCCCCTCCTCTGCCCGGGGTGTGGTGGGTAGCCCTGTTGCAAGTTGTGGTTCCCTTGACTGGTGCCCACCTTCCATGTGGAGCCCGCGGGAGGCAGCGAGCAGGAGCACAGCACCTATATCTGCAACAAGAGGCAGCAGATCCTGCGGCTGGTCAGCCAGTGGGTGGCCCTGTATGGCCCCATGCTCCACACTGACTCTGTGGCCACCAGCTTTCTCCAGGTACCTGGGAGGGGGGCAGGGCTGGACTGGGCTTGCTGGGTGGACAGCATCTCAGTGAACCTTGGCTCCTCCCAGAAACTCTCAGACCTGGTGAGCAGGGATGCCCGGCTCAGCAACCTGCTACGGGAGCAGTGGCCGGAGAGGCGGCGACACCACAGGTGATGCTTTGGCTTTAAGTTAATGTGTCATATGTGGGACTGGCAGTGCCTCAGGGACTGGACTCAGACACGTGGCTTTAAATCCAGGCTGCACCACTTACAGCTGTGCCGCCCTGAGCGTGTTACCCGCACCCACCTCAGGGCTTTGGGCTCTTGTCTGTAAAGTGGGAGAGCACCACCTCATTGCATGGATGGGATGAGTTACTGTGCCTTCAGAGCACAGACAGTGCCCTGTGCACGGTGCAGGTCATGCGAGTGTTGGCTATGGTTGCTCATTTGTCCAGTTCTGCTTGTTTCGATTGGCTGTTCTCACCAGTCCCCTTGCTGTTCCTCCTCACGTCATGGGCTCAGCCATTCTCACACATCACGCAGTCATTCGTGTGTCATTCTCCTCTCCCGAGTGCACCTGCTGTTCTCACTTCCTCCATTCTGTAGATATTTATTACCCAGCAACACTGGTGCCAGTTCCTGCTGGCCCTGCCTGGTAAATTTCCTAGAGTCTACCTTCCCCCTCCCAGACATTCCGTGGGGGCAGCTGAGGTCCAGGGAGAGCTCACCTGAACCAGCGCCTGCTCCATCTGACACCCAAGTCCATTTCCTCCTAGAACTCTTTTTTGTCCTCCCCTGCTGGGAAAATCACTGACTCCAGGGTCCCAGTTTCAGCCCCAGCATTGCCCCTCTCTAAGTGATATTCACCAAATCTGCGAAACTCTGAGCCTCTAGTGAGGGCAGGTGGGCACCTCCCTGCTCCTGACCCTGTAATGTCCTGCCCGCAGGGCTCTCTGGCCTCCAGTCTCACCTCCCTTCCCTTTTTCTTCACAGGTTGGAAAATGGCTGTGGGAATACATCTCCTCAGATGAAGGTGTCTGCTCTGAGTCTGCTCCCCTCACCCCTGTCGGCCCCAGCTTCTTCCCTCTGCTCCTCTGGGGGCTGCACAGCCCCTCCGTTAGCCCCATCTGAGGGGCTGTGCGTGGGAAGGTTTCCCACGTGCAGACACACTGTTCACATGGGCTGCATATGGTGCTGGGGCAAGGTCCTGTGGGGACACAGGGGTCTAAGGCCACCCCTCTACCCCCACCCCCAAGGGGCTTCTATTCTGTTTGGGAGGTAATTTATTCTCACATTTAGAGCCAGTTAGCAGTTCTCACCTGGAAGGTGAGACATGGTGCCTGAAGGCAGCCAGGGAGGCTCAGCCATTCCTGGCAGAGGAAGGCAGGCCCCTCCTGGGAGTCAGAGGTGGCCAGTGCCATTTCTGGCAGGGGCCTCGGGGGAACAAAGGGGAACAAGAAGAGGTGAGGAGTTGAGATTTGCTTGAGAATTGTCAGAGAAAGGACTGGAATGGTAGGTTGGGGCTGGTTGTGGGGAGTGCTGCATTGGAAATAAAGTGCAAATGCCTCACCGGGGCCTCCTGGGCGGGCTCCTGTAGCCAGCTGCCTCTGCCACCTCATCCTGTCTCCCTCCTCCCTGCCGGAGACATTCGCGGCCTTATTTTCTTCTGTAGATGAAGCTTGCTCCCTCCTCAGGGTCTGGAATTTTCTTTCTCTGACTCTTTGCCTACCTGGATCCTTCTTATTGTTCTGACCTCAGACAACATGTTGGGTTCCCAGAGAGGCCCCCTTCCATATCTATACAGAGCATCCCCCCAACACACACTGGCCACTGTCCTCCAAGGGGTCCACTGTGATTTTCTTCAATGCATTATCACCATATGGAGTTGTTTTATTTGTCTGGTTGCTTGTTGGCTGTTAGTATCTGTCACATCCCTCTAGGCTGCTGGCTTCACGCTTGAGAGGCCTTGACCTCTGTTTCCCAGGGCTCACCGTGCTGCCTGGCCTATGGCTGACGCTCAGGGACCAGCATGGAATGGCCCTCTCGTGCCGGCACTGTGCTAGGAGCCAACAACGTAGGAGTGTGTCCGCAGAGCCACCCCTGGCCTTGATGGGCTTACAGTCAAGCAAGGGACAGAGCTGCTGGACAATCTCATGCTGTCTAAGGGCTAAGACAGGGATCTCTGAAAGCAGGGAAGGGAAGGGCTGACTCAGGGTCAGGGTCAGGGAGCTCATCCTGGGAAGTGACTGCTGGAGCTGAGAGCTGAGGGTGTGAAGGTGGAGGGAGAGGAAGATGACAGGCAGGAATGAGAGGGAGGGGAGCTCACCCATTAAGAGCCCTGGAGGAGGGAGAGCCAGAGGGAGCAACAGGGGAGTCTGGGGAGGTGGGCAGGGGCCAGAGTATACAGGGTCCTGTGGGTCATGGTGAGGGGTTTGGTCTTTGTCCTCAGAGCAGTGGGAACCATTGGAGGTGTTTGAGCCGGGGATTGGCAAGATCGCATTTGTGTCTTGAATAGGTCAGCTAAGGAGCCTGTGCTTATCCCCCAGACGGTGGTGGCCTTGAAGCCGTGTTAGGAAGCTTCGTCTGGCTCTGGTCAGGCAGGTTAGAGGAGGAGCGAGGATGTAGGAGAATGGCTGGACCATTGCAGTAGATAAGTTGTGAGGATTTGTGGGCAGGTGAAACCGGAGGGTTCGCCTGGGCTGGCGAGGGGGATGCAAGGAGACCCTTTTCAAAGAACAGTCCCAGGACAAGGTGACAAGCTGTGGGGAAGTGGGGAAGGCAGGAGCCTTGAGCCTAAGAGCATGGCCAGGAGGAGTGTCTGGGAGGCAGGAGGAGGGGATCCCAAGCATGTGCTGAGCTTGGGTGATGGAGCACAGATGCAGAAGGACCCGGGAGGCACTGGAGACCAGGGCTTGGAAGGGGGTTGAGCGCTGGTGGTTGGTTTTATGAGTCCTCCACATGCAGGGCGTGCAAGAGGCTGTGAGGAACTCTGAGGAGAGCTGTGAGATTTGGAAATCTAGCGAAGAACCATGAACTGAGGTCTGAACCTGATCTGCCACCTTCAGAGCTGGGAGGAGGAGAGTCACACTGGAGTTGGAAAGGACAGTCAGGGTGGGCAGAGGGACTGTGTTAGGGAGGCCTTCGCCCCATCGCCGTGGTTGGGGCCCACAGAGGAAGGGTTGTGGGGTTTGACAGGGCAGTTGACCAAGTTGAGTGTTGGTGGGTAAGAGCACAGAGGGAGGGAGGAGAGGGTTAGGATTCCAGCTGGGCCGTTTAACAGCTGTGTTGCCTTGGACATGTTATTTAACCTCTCTGAGCCTCATTTTATCTCATCTACAAAATGGGAATCATAATAGTAATATTTTTGTCAAAGGGCTATTATAAATATTTAGATACTTAGAACAAGCATGCACCTATCCTGGCATATAGTCAATAGCAAACTAGCAAATGGTAGCGAGGGAGGAAAAGGAAGACAGAACCAGTGTCGGCAGCTGAAGTGTGTTCATATTAGAACAGCTCTGGGCCTATCTGGCAGAGGGGGTGACACACACATAGAGGGTCACATACCCGCTCTTAGCCCTGCGCTGTCTCTTCTGAAGCCTCAGTCACCGGTGCCTTACCTGGCTCAGGTCCATGTAGGAAGCAGAGCCTGCTGGTGGTGTGCATGCTGTGTGGGTCCCATGCTCCTTGTGACAAAGCATCCCCCCCCCGCCCCCGCCTTGCCCTGCGTGCTCTCCTCTGTGTCCTCTGGGCCTTACTTTCTCTTTCTCTCAGGCCCGGAACATGTCTGTTTGGCTCCCCGGCCAGGACGAGGCCCTCCCCAGCAGCAACTGTGCCATCCGAGTTGGGGACAAAGGTTGGTGGTCTGAATCCTCCCTCTGCGGCTGTCACCCTTGACTGTGCTGTGCCTGGCTGAGGAGGGCACCCTGTACTCCTTAGGGCCTCAGTTCTAGCCTCCCACCTCGGCTCAGAGCCTCCCGCTCGCTGTGTGCAGCCTGTCCACCCAGGCTTCTCCTTAGCGCCCTTGCCCATCCTTGGGACCCTTCCCATGGCTTGCCGCCCTCTCCTTCCTGGGGTGGGGAAACCAAGCAGCTCAGCCCCGTCTTCCTCGCCAGTCTCCTATGACATCTGCCGGCCAGACCACTCAGTGCTGACCCTGCAGCTACCTGTGACAGCCTCAGTGAGAGAGGTGATGGCAGCATTGGCCCAGGAGGATGGCTGGACCAAGGGGCAGGTGCTGGTGAAGGTCAACTCCGCAGGCGGTGAGTTGTGTCTCTGGGTAGGGTGGCCCCAAGGGAAGGGTCCCCCTTAGAGCCATTCCCAGGTCCCCCAAATGGAGATCATTATCATCTTTATCATCTTCATCAATGTTAATGATTGCTAGCATTTATGGGAGGTTGATAATGTCTCTTCAACGTGCTTTTACGTGGAGTGATTCACAGCATGAACTCTGGAGCCTGCTGCCTGTATCTGACCCCAGCCCTTTAGCCCCCTGTCTGTATGACCTTGGGCAGGAGACTTCATCTCCCCCTGCTCTGTTTTTTCATCTGTAAACATCTTATGTACTCTCATACATAAGAGTACCTGCTTCATAGAGGAATTGTGAGGACTAAATGGGCTCATCTATGGAAGTGTTTAGAATGATGTTTGGCACATAGCACTCCGTAGCTATTAGCTGCTGCTATTTTTTTTTTTTAAGATTTTTATTGGGGAATTGGGGGATGGGAACAGCGCTAGGGAATTGGGGGAAGGGGAACAGACAAGTTGCTGTTGTTTTTTTCTTCAGTCTAGTTGTGGAGGACGTTGCTTCACTGGCCCAAGTTGGCACCGTCATTGCACTCTTCCCGGGTGAGGCAGATCAGTCGCTGGCTTCTGGATGGCTGCTCACTGTGGCTGCTGGCTACATACGGTAGCCCATGGCAACCCACTGTAGCAGGGGCTGCAGCCTATGCCGTTGTAGGCGACTCATGGCAGCCCACCTCCAGGTTGAGCTGTTGTTCAGCATCTTAGCTGTAGAGGGCAGTGTCACTGGTCCTCATATGTGGGATCCGAACTGGGGCCCTCTGGTGTCCCAAGCCAGCTCTTAACCAATGCGCCACTCGGCCAGCCCTTAGCTGCTGCTCTTATCATCATGGATACACTCATTTGCTCCTAATAACAATCTTACGAGATAGGTAATTCTATCCTCTTTTCAGACAAGGAAACTGAAGCGCAATGGGATTAAGCAATTTTCCCAAGCTCACAGGGTGAGAGTGTAGCTAGCCTTTGAATCTAAGTAGTCTTTATTCATTTAGTCAGTCAGCAAACATATTTGAGGGTCAGCTATGGGCCAGCAAGGTGTTAGGGGCTAGAGCTGCCATGGCAGGGAAGATAGAGCAGCTTCATGGTTAAGAACATAGACTGTGGACTCCCAGTCCTGTGTTGGAATCCGAGATCCACTCTTACTAGCTGTGTAGTCCTGGGCAAGTTGTTTAACCTCTCTGTTCCTCCGTTTCCTTTTCTGTCACATGAGCACTGTAACTGAACCTATCACACAGGACCGCTGTGGCTATGAAATGAGATGCTGTGTATAAAGCACTTAGCAGGGCACCTGGTACCAAGTCAGTGCGCAGAATATGGCAGCAGGAGGATTATTAAGGCCTGCCTTTGGAGAACTTGGGACATTAAAAACCCCTGTTATCTGTGAAGGATGCAGCCCAGGTGTGACAGCTGGAGCCCACGGTAGACTGGAATTAGGGGCATCCGGAGAATAATAGCAAGGAGCGGAGAATTGCTTAATCTCATTGCGCTTCAGTTTCCTTGTCTGAAAAGAATTACCTATCTCATAAGATTGTCATTAGGAGCAAGTGAGTATGTAAGCATGATAACAGCAAAGCCTTCTTCCTTCAGGAAGTGGGGAGGATGAGGTCACCTGTGCCCGTGTGTGCTCTGGGAAGCACTGCCCTCTGGTGGCCACCTGAGAGTTGCGGCCGCCCAAAGCCAGTATCTATTGAGGCCCTACTATGTGCCAGGCGCTGTTTAGGGCACTGATCTCTAGGTTGTTTTGATTGACACACTTGTTAGTAACCAGTATTTTATTTCAAACTCCCTGCTATGTGTGTATTTGCATGTAAGTCATATACATAAATTCCTACCTGAATGTTATGTAATTATAAAGTTGTACACAAAATAGAGATGCAAAACAGATGAGAAAAAAATAAATACAAGTAGAAGAGCTAATGTTTTTTCCTAGACACAGGGATGGCCTTGTGTACCTTACTTTGGAGGCTAGTAGTCTAGGGACTGGGGACAAACACATGGGTAAAAACACAGCCCTAGTCCACAGGAACTGATGAAAATCAGCACCAAGACTTCTGTAAGGCATTTCCCAATTTTCATACAGCTTCTATATGTGTCATATACTTAAAGCCACTATGTATATAAATTATTTCATTTGACCATGCATAGTCAGGGCAAGCCTTATTGTCTCCATTTGACAAAGGAGGAAATTGAGGCTCAGGGGGGTTCCCACCTTGCCCAAGGTCTCCCTGTCACTAAACATTCCTTTTCATCCTCCTTGGGTGTGCTTCCCTGGGTGTAGATGTGTGGGCATGTGCCCCTGTGCATTTAGAGCACCTGCTTAGGACTCTAACCCTGACACTGGAAGAAGGGACCTCGCAGCCTCCCAGCCTCCACCCTGCCTCTGGCTGCTCCCTGGCCTCTCTCCCTGTCTTTATCCAGCACGGCCTCTGCTCTATTTGCAGATGCCATTGGCCTGCAGCCAGATGCCCGTGGTGTGGCCACATCCCTGGGGCTCAACGAGCGGCTCTTTGTTGTCAACCCACAGGAAGTGCATGAACTGGTAGGAACAGGCAGGGTACCAGGGCCCAGCAAGGATCTCTGTTTTGGGGCTGGTAAGGGTGGGTGCTGAGGGAAGGTTGTAGAGAGGAGAGGGGGCGCGGCCTGGCTCTGGCTGCTTCTGGGCCTTAAAGGGGAAGAAGGAGTGGGCCTCAGCTGATGGGGGTTCCAAAGGACGGGGAAGGGGGAGAGCTAGTTGGGGGTTCTTAAGAAGAAAGGAAGATCTGCCCTCATTAGGTGTTCCCCAGGGGACAGGAGTCCTACAAGGAAGAGTCCCAGCACTGTGGAGCTGTCAGGAAGATGCTTCCATGGGAAGCCCCATCCTTCAGAGGCCCCTCTACTCCCTGCAGCACCCCTGCCCACCCCCCAACACTCTTCTGATCATGGGCACAGAGTCTGCCCCAAATGCCTTCCTCCCACCTGGGACCTTTCCCCTGGATGCCTTGGGCACCTCCCTGAGTACTCTCTTACCTGCAGACTCCACACCCTGAGCAGCTGGGGCCCACTGTGGGCTCTGCTGAGGGGCTGGACTTGGTGAGTGCCAAGGACCTGGCAGGCCAGCTGACGGACCATGACTGGAACCTCTTCAACAGCATCCACCAGGTGCGGGGAGCAGAGCCGAGGGCAGGAGAGCAGGCGGCGGGGCACCCCGTCTGGCACACACTGATCTCGCGTTCTTCTGCCACCCAGGTAGAACTGATCCACTATGTGCTGGGCCCCCAGCACCTGCGGGACGTCACCACCGCCAACCTGGAGCGCTTCATGCGCCGCTTCAATGAGTTACAGTACTGGGTGGCCACGGAGCTGTGTCTCTGCCCCGTGCCCGGCCCGCGGGCCCAGCTGCTCAGGAAGTTCATTAAGCTGGCGGCTCAGTGAGTGCCTGTAGGGGCCTATGGGATGTGTGGCAGCGTTCTGAGGCCACTTTTTCTTAACCCCCTGTGCCTGGTTAGTGTTTTGCCGAATCTGCTAACCCCTTGCTTCCTCGGGTCCCCTGGAGCCTCTGCCTCCCCGTCCCATCCATGCAGCTCCACTGCCTGCAGGGGCCCCAAGCCTGGCTCTTGTCTGGATGTGGGTCTCTCTGGGTATGGCCGCTCCCCCTGAGGGTCTCTGGATCTTCTGCTCACAGCCTCAAGGAACAAAAGAACCTTAACTCCTTCTTTGCCGTCATGTTTGGCCTCAGCAACTCGGCCATCAGCCGCCTGGCCCACACCTGGGAGGTAGGTGTGACCTGGAGGAGGAAGCCAGGGCCTCCCCATCCCAGTCCTGAGGTCAGGCCTCGTGCCCATCCTGGGAGTCCTGTTGGGGACGGGGCTGCCATCCGAGAGCAGTGACAGCCCCATCTGCCTCTCTTTCTCAGCGGCTGCCCCACAAAGTCCGGAAGCTGTACTCGGCCCTTGAGAGGCTGCTGGTAAGTGCTGGGCCTCGGCTTCCCCCTCCAGAAACCCTGATTCTTGGCTTCTCAGCAGCCCCTCTGGAAGTGTCTTCGGTCACTTCCAGGGTTCCCAACCCTGAGCCAGGGCCTGGTTCCTTCTGGCCTGTGAGTTTGGGAAGCTGGTTGAGGATTGAGTCTTTAGTGTTATGGTGGGGGTGCAGGGTATTATATCCCTCAGTATCTGTAGGTATTGTGTGTGTGTGTGTGTGTGTGTGTGTGTGTGTGTGTGTGTGTGTGTGTGTGTGTAGGGGAGCATTTGCTGTGGCTGTGAGGTCCTGTGTGAAGACCAGGATAGATCACATGTGGTGTCTGGTCCTGGGGTCTAAGGTGCCAAGGGAGCATCAGGGGGACACTGGTCTCCAGCTGACCTGCCTAAAACTGGTCCCGGCCCCAGCACCCATACTGTGCCAGGGCCTGTCAGTGGCCTTTCAGGAGACTTGACAAGCCCGTGGGCCAGACAAGGTCAAAAGATGAGGAAAGAATTGAGGAGCTGAACCTCAGACCCCAGGAATTTGGGGGAAGGTGGGGGTTGACAGTGTTCAGGAGAGAACTGGCACAGAGATGCTTTTATCAGCATGTCCTGGGAGCTCTTAAGAAATAAAATTCATGTCATGTGGCTCAAGAGGGTCAAAGGAATTTATGAGAGAGAGAGAGAGAGAGAGAGAGAGAGAGAGAGAGAGAGAGAGAGAGAGAGAGCGCGCTAATCAGAAGCCAAGAAGCCACATGCACACATGACCTTTCCACCTGCTGCAGAGCAGAGCCTGCTTTGGTGAGCTCTGGGCTTGAGGAGGAGCTGAGCTCCCAGGCCATGGGCTTATGACCCTCCTGCTGGGCGGGGCGTTGGGCTGTGTCGTGGTATGTGGTGGGTTACGGTGTGGGGGCCCCTCCCTCTCTCACTGTGGCTTCTTCCCTTCCAGGACCCCTCGTGGAACCACCGAGTGTACCGACTGGCCCTCACCAAGCTCTCCCCTCCTGTCATCCCCTTCATGCCCCTTCTTCTCAAAGGTAATAGGACCAGTGCTTACCTTGCGGCCTCTATCCAGTCTATTCCAGTGCCTATCTGCATGTCCACCTAGGCCCTCTGAGTGATGCCAGTGTGCTGACGCCTTGGGGGCCACAAAGATGAATTAGGAGTCCACAGGCTAGAAGCAGTGAGGGCATACAAACAGATGTTGGTGGCTTTAGTTGGCCGAGGATATGAGGCCTAACAGATTCAAGGAAGTTGCTCCGGGTCAGAGGGGAGCCAGAGAAAGAGGGTGGTGTGGGGGTGGGGCAGGCCTGAGGCTCCCGTTATTGGCTCTTCACCTTTCCTGAGCTGCAGAAAAGGGAAGGAGTTGGGGGAGCTTTGAGCAAACCCCATCTCTTTGTAGACATGACCTTCATCCATGAAGGAAACCACACCCTGGTGGAGAATCTTATCAACTTTGAAAAGATGGTGAGTTCAAGGAGAATAGTTGTCTGCCACTGGAGTGGGTTGGGGTATATGACAATGGCCTTGGAAGGGGGCGAGGGGTGGAGATGGTCAAAAGTTATAAATAGACAGGTGAATACTTATTTTTTGTTTTTAATTATATTGGGGAACAGTCATGGTCGTTGTTTACACATTGCTTTCATACTACAATGGCATAGCTGACTCTTTTAGGGAGGGTGCAGCCCACAGTGGCCCATGTGGGGATTGAACTGGCAACCTTGGTGTTATTAGCACCGTGTTCTAACCAACTGAGCTAGCCAGTCACCTCTGTGAATGCTTTTTAAAATAGCCCCTGTCTTACTCCAATTCATACCGGAAGGCCTGGTCTCTACAGGGGGTTGCTGGGGTGACAGCCTTCACTATCTCTCCCTTCAGTGAGAGCCCCTTCCAGGCCTCTTCCTCTCTAAGCCCTTCCTGACCTCTGTTCTTTCCATTACTGGGTCCTTGCTGGGCCTCTGCATGTGCTGGGGCAAAGCAGACATGACCCCACCTCTTACAATCTCCTGGTCTCTAGAAGCACCCTGCTCACAGGAAGCTCGGGTTCCCAGCTGCCCCGGAGGCCAGGCCAGGCTCCTACCCTCAGGCCTGGTCTCATGCCCTTGCCTTGTCTGCAGAGAATGATGGCCAGAGCTGTGCGGATGCTGCACCACTGCCGGAGCCATAGCAATGGTGAGAGGACTGGTCCCCTGGGGTAGAAGCCCCGCAACAGTGGCCCCTTCGTGGCTGCAGCTTGGCCTTGTCTCCCTGACTCCCTGCTCTTGCCCCGCCAGTGCCTCTTTCACCGCTCAGAAGCCGAGTCTCCCATCTCCATGAGGACAGCCAGGCATCAAGAATTTCCACATGTAAGTGGGGGCAGGGTGGGTGCTGATGAGTTAGCCGTGGCTGGCGTGCACAGGCACTTGCATACATGATGCTAATAACTTGGGAACACCTCAGTGAGGTAGGTGGAATGTTACCCCAACTTAAAGATGCATACACAGACTGGAGCGCTGAAATGACTTGGAGAAGGCCACACTGGTTAGCAACAGAGCTGCGACCCCGGCAGTCTTATTCCAGATCTGCATTTTTTAAAATGGCCCTCAGCTGCAGGAAATGGGATTAATCATAATCCACAGTTCATACCACACTTTCATCATTGGCCCTATATTTTATTTTAGCATGTGTTTATTCTGATACTGCAATGAATGTCTCTGAACCCAATCCAAGTATGAGCACATTGACAATAATGTCCATCTTTCTACGTGCGGGTCTCCCCTCTCGTCCGCTTGCCTCACCACCCGTGGTAACCACTATCCTGAATTTTGAGTTTCACGTTTTCTTGTTTTTTAAAAATAGCTTTATCATATGTATACACACATATACACACATGTATATCTTTAAAGTGCCTCATATAATATATAAAAATATATATAATGACAAGAAAATATTTTTTAGTTTTAGTTGTTTTTGAGCTTAGTAAAAGGGGGTATTATGCTGTATGTCATCTTCGGGAACCGCTTTTCTCAGTCTGTGCTCTTCTGCCCCCAGATCAGGGGGAGGAGGGGCAACAGTCTTCTAGACTGACTGCCTGGAAGCCGCACAGCGGGTGTCAGAGGGCAAGAAGGCTGGTTTGCTCCTTGGAGGGGGAAGGGATGGGCTCTACAAAGTGATGTCTGTGCCCTCCCTGACTGCTCTGCCCTCCACCCCCCGCCAGGCTCGGAGCAGTCCCTGAGCACCCGGAGTCCAGCCAGCACCTGGGCTTATGTCCAGCAGCTGAAGGTCATCGACAACCAGCGGGAACTGTCCCGCCTCTCCCGGGAGCTGGAGCCGTGAGGAGGGGGCTGAAGCTGGAGCAGGCATTTCCCGCTGGGAAAGTCAGGGCACGCCTGGGCCAAGGGGCCCACGGGCTGGCCACAGCTGGGCAGGGCTCTCCGCGGAGTGGACTCGAGGCCCTGGAGTGGGCAGCGTGGAGGCGGCCATCCCCTGTGATGATTGGCCACTAAGGAGGACCTTGCAGTGGAGTGAGCTGAGGCCCAAGGCCAAGGAACGGGGGACAGAGAGGCTCTGGAGCGGGTGGGAGAGCGGAGCAGGCGCTGGGACTCTGTGTTCAATAGAGAGCTCTCCATACCAGGTTTTTTCCAGATTTTGTGTCTATGGCTTTGTTGTCCAGCCATCTCCTGGCCCCTGCGGTTTGTTTTCACAGCGAACTGAGAGAGTGCCTGCATGTGTGTGGCATGTGTGTGGCAGGGTAGGGCCGGCTGTAGAGCGGGCAGGAGAGGGGAGGGGGCGGTTCTGCTTTTCTTTCCATAGCATGTGAGCTAAACAAACGAGTGTGGTCAGGGATGTTTGTGTGGGAGTGGTGGTCCCCGAGAAGCCTTATTGTTACCGTACATTAACAGAGATGCCTGTGTTCTGAGGCCAGTCCTGTGGGGCTGTGGCAGAGACGCCTAGGAGCTGAGGAGAAGGTGCCGTGCCTTGGGGTGGACCCAGAGAGGCTGATGCAGCAGCCCTCCTGCTCGTGCATGGTCTCTGGGACCCGACCCAGGCAAGGCTCCGGGATGGCTGGTGGCTGTCCAATCTAACCTCTCTGGCCACAGTACCTGCTAGAGCCTGGAGCCCCTGCCAGTGGCTGACCAGCATAGCCCTCTGCTCTTCACGGTGCTCTGAGAGGACTATTACAGCCCAGCTGCAAGTAGCTCTGTCCACGTCCTCGTCTGGCCGGCTTCACTTCCTAACCCTCTGCTTGCAGCACGTTATGGCCTGTCTGGAGGTACTCACACTGAACAAAGGCCTCCAGGAGGTGGCCAGTGATAGAGAGGACGCTGAGGCAGAGGCTTCTGAGGAAAGTGTATTCCTTGCTGAGGCCTAACAGGCTTTCAGGAAGTCAGGATGTCTTGTCAGTGATAAGAATGGTCCTGATAGACTCTGTCAACGTTAAGTCCTCTCTTCAGCACATCTCCTGGGAACCAACTACTGCGAGGACCCTTCCCACTCGGAGCACACCTGAGGAAGCTCTAGGAAAGACCTCCCTCCTCTCTGCTCCCTGTGGCGCTGAGCATGGCAGGGGAAGGCCTATTGTCTGGCCCCAAAGGGAACCTCTCGGCCTTGATGATGACCTCGGAGTAGGTACTGAGCAGCAGGGCCCAGGGCATATGGAGAAAGTGGGCCCTGCACTTGCTCAGCAGGTACATCTGCCAGGGCTCAGGCTGGACACACCACTGCCTCCCTTCACCCCTACACTCCGTGCTCATGGACACACATGCAAACTGCTTCCAGAAAGCTTCAGAACTCAGCAGAAGCAGCACAACTGGGATTAAACCTCAGGTTTCTAAGTGAATCTGAGCAAGTCAATGAATAGTTCTCTGCCTCCATCTCTCCATCTGTAAGATGGGTGTGATGATCTCAGTCTAGTTCTTAGTGACAAACCAGTCAAACTGCAGCCCTGCCTCCATAGCTGAGGTGACAGCCATGGGCAGTCCTTGTCCTCAACCTGACAGAGTGGCACTATCACCTCTGGTGAAGTTGGGCAGAGCCCATTCCCCAGGGAAAGCCTGGGGTGGAGCAGGTGTCAGGGGTAACCCAGCCAGTTCCCTTGCCTATGGGTGGAGATGGAAGACCACTGGGCGCAGAAACTTCCAGAGCTGAGCAATCATGACAGGAGGCCTCAGCCTTGGTAAGTCTGGACTCCCAGGGACTTTCTCCTCTTATAAACCGATTGTCAGTTTCAACAAGACCAGCAAGACGGCTGTGGCCCTTCACGACCCTTTCAGACTCAAGGGCAAGACCAGCCCTGCAACGATGGAAGCCGAGTGCAGTAGGGGCTGATGTCCCCATCAGCATTTCTCCTTTGTTTTCCTCTGTGGTCACATCTATGTCCCAATGGAACTTTGGCAACGTTTGAACACCCTTCAGCGTTGCAACGTCCCAGCTGCTGCAGTCTTGTGGGCAGGACGCCTGATGAGCCTGCTGAGAGAGGCCTTGCCAGGAGAACAGTGCCCAGGGCAGCAGGAGGACACCCTGGGAGCCAGAGGCCCAGTTGACTGGGCCCAGTCTCCGCTGAGGAGGGAAAGGCTCCAGGCCACAATAACTTGCTTCTGTCTCCCTGACTGCCCAGGCATAGGGTGGGTGTGGTAGCATTTTCTTGTGTCCTAGCAGCCCAGGCTTGTGTGTACGGGGCTCCTAGTTTGTGTCTCAGCTTCAGGAGAGCTGTGATGAGAGGGGGGAATTCATGCGACTGGTGAAAGAAGGAAGTGTGAGATCAAGACTTTAAAAAAAACCTCTTCTACCTAAAAGGAGATAAAGCAGAGAGGGAATGTGTTTGTCCTATGGGGGAGAACAGAATGGAGGGGGTAGCTCCTCCTCTCACACACACAGACACACACTTGCGCACGCACACACACACATGCACATATGCACACACACTCGCACACGCGCACACATGTACTCCTTCTCCTCCCTTACCTCCTTATCTTCAACTTCTCTGGGCAGGCCTGGGGCAGGCTGGGGACTGGGCCAGGACTCTAACTGTGGAGTGCACACCAGGGACGGGCACGTTTCCAGCAGGCTGAGCAGGATCTGGTGAAGGAGTAGAGCAGGCCGGGGAGCCCCGATTCTGGCTGTCCAGCTTCTCTCCCTGGGAGCCAGCCCTCCCCTCTCTCCCCAATCCCATCTAAACAGGACAGACTAGAGATGGTGATCTAGCCCCCTCCGCCCCATCACATTCAGCTTGGAGTTAGAGCCGGGGGTAGGAGGGAGGATGTGGACCTGCTTTCACACTCCTGGTGGCTTTTGTGTTCCCAACAGCCCTGGGCCTCTGGCTGCCAAAGATCAATCTTCTTAATGTTGCTGTTATTCCCAGTACTTACCATGCTAATGGATTTGAATCGTTTTCATTCTTTCTAGCACACTTTCACTTCTATTATCTTATTTTTATCCTAATGATAGGGCAGGTATTTTTACCCCTGTTTACAGTCAAAGAAACTGAGGCACAGAAAGATTTGCCTAAGGTCACATCACTGGTTAATAACAGGGTAGACTGGCGAGGGGGCTGGAGGTGTTTTAGCCATACCCATGCCATGGGCCTTGCTCATCCATGACCTCTCCTTGTGCCCCTGGCACTCCAGATGCAACCTCTCCGAACCCCAACATTTTGTAGACTCAGGCATATAAGTTCCTTCCTCCCTTTCACCCTCCTTCTCTTCAGTTTGGAATACTTACTATGGGTTTGGCAGGGGCTCTGTGAACAAGACAAGCAGTTCTGGCCCCTCGTGGAGCAGACCACCCAGCCAGGCAGATGGACACAGAGCAAAGCCATCGAAAGGGACAAGATGCCACAGAGGGCAAGTCCAGAGAGTGGTAGGTGCCTTGGGCTGCAGCGTCTCACTGCTCACGGCTGCTTTTTAGGCCCATGGTTGCTCCCACATTGGAATGTAAGTTCATAGCCCTAGTCATCCTGTTTCTCAGAGCCCTGCACACCAGCCCGCAAGGCTCAGCCTCCCAGAGCTGTGGGTGCTCTCAGCTCCCCACTGGTATAAGCCACCAGAGTGTCCTGAGTATCAGGTATAGGGGCTGGTGGCCGGGGCGAAATCTCTGACCTGGCAGTTCCTCTTGATCCCTCCCTTCCTTCCATGGACATAGAGGCCAGAAAGTAAATGCGTTTCCAAAATGTGTCCTTATTCCCTTCCCAGACACAAAGTTCTGGGCTTCTCACGCATCTGGCAGGGCCATGGCTTGAACTAAGTAAGTGTCCACTCGGGTCTGTCCAGTTGCCCCAGCCAACCAGGCACCCTTCTCCAAGGTTCTGGACTCTTCAAGACCTGAGCCCCGCCCTCCTGTTGCCCAGCCTGATGGGGCACCTGAGGGCAAAGGGGCTTCTTTCTCAGGAGATGGGCGGCAGCTGTCCCTCCTGGTAATGATGACACTGATCACTCTGAGAAGCTGTGCTTTGAGGGGTTTAAGTCTGACTCAGCTGTGCTTCGAGAGCGTCTTCTCTCCCACACCTGGGGCCTTCCTGGGGCACGTGGCCTTGATGGGGCCAGAGGCGGCGGCTGCTGCTGGTGGTAGACACTGAGGCAGGAGAATGAGCTCAGTAACTCCCAGAAGAAGGAAGAAGGCTGGGCTCAGAGTTCAGGTCCACTGTTTTTTACAGGAAGGTTTGAGAGTCTGGTGGCTTGTGTGTGTTTAGACTGACCAGTATGGCCCCTGGGCCAGGGACCTGGGAGCTTAGGGCATTGCCTGACTCTCTGCCATGCTCTTGGCTTTTGGGAAGCGCTCAGGAACTCAGTTTTCTGGCTGGGGTGAGTTGTGGGTAGCCAGAGCTGTTTCCAGGTTGCTGAGTGGAGAAGAGTACAGGCTTTCCTGGCACTCTGGGACTCTAGCCAGCAGAGAGATGTAGAGAGGGTGACATTTTACTGGGGCTGTGGCAGCAGGACATTTTAAGCATATTGTGCCTTCCAGAAAAGTGCCCTGTAAACCAGAGCTTGAGATGGCACAGGCAGGTGTCAGAGTGGTCCTTCTATGGCGAGCAGTGTGTAGAAGTAAAGGAACCTTGGTCTCAATGGCCATGTGGCCTTGGGCAAGTCCCTTTCTCTCCCTGGGCCTCAATTTCCTTACTTATAAGCAAGGATTTGGACTAGAAGTGTTTGGGAATGTGTTCCTGTAATTAGCGCCTATGACTGAGGCAGCTCAAGGTGTCAAAAGGGGTGAGGGGGCACAGACCCCTCTCGGTCATGAGGCTGCACACCCCTCTGAGCACCTTCCCAGCAGTGGCCTCCAGCCAGACTCCCCTCGGGAGGGAAGGCCAGCTGCAAGTACAGTTTTATTAGGAGGGTTCTCAGAGAGTTCCCTGCCCCTAAATATTGCCTCCTGTAGCCTGCCTGAGGGAGTCCGGCTTTGGCTGTGGCAGACCCCTGTTGTGTAGATATTCATGTATAACTTGAGAGGATTCTAATAGTCAGGATTCTAATGGTCACTTTAAGGGGGAGAAAAGGAAAGGAAGAGCCCTAAGGCAATGGCGTGAGGGGAGTTATGACATGGGGTGAGGGGCAAGGTCCAGAGTATTCCTTAGGGCATATTGCAGGGGCCCTGGGGAGCACAGGGCACTCCAGACAGAGAGTTAGAGGGAGAGATAGGAGGCCAGCTCTACCCATTCAGTTTTGCTGGAGCTGGACCCTGCAGGGGCAATCTATGTGCTAGAGGGAGAGTTTGCAGGTTCAGGCTGGACTCTGATTGGCCCATGGAGGAGGCCAGGCTTCCCTGCCCCTCCTCTCTCTTGGTTCTTGGCTCTGCACCAGGCAGCTGTTGGTAATCTCATCAAATAGAACACATGGCTCAGAAGGCCAGAGACACGGATTTGTTCCCCACTGATGCTCTTGGCTTCCCGCAGAGCAAAGCCCAGTTCTTCAGGCTGCAGCTGCACCCCCAGAGAGTAGGTGGCCACCTTTGGCAACCAAACCAAGTGAGCTGGACCATGTAACTCATTAAACCCTCCATCGGGCGCAACTGATCTCACAGATTCATTGCACACAAAGATGCCGCTATGAAATGCATCTTTACAAAGTCACAAACACTACTGGTGATAGATTACGGTAGAGGGGGAAGATACGGAAGCTATGAGTCACAATACTTAAGTTAACTGTTAGATACTTGAAAATTTGTGTGCAATGAATCCGTGAGATCAGTTGCGCCCGACGGAGGGTTAAAGAGTCATCCCCGGGCCGGCCAAATGGCGCATTGGTTAAGAGCTGGCTTGGGACACCAGAGGGCCCTGGTTCGGATCCCACATATGAGGGCCAGTGACACTGCCCTCTATAGCTAAGATGCTGACCAACATCTCAGCCTGGAGCTGGGCTGCCGTGAGTGGCTGGCGATGGTGTAGGCTGCAGTCCCTGCTGCAGTGGGTTGCCATGGGCTACTGTGTGTGGCCAGCAGCCAGTGTGAGCAGCCAGCAGCCTCAGTGAGTGGCTGTTCAGAAGCCGGGGACTGATCTGCCTCACCCGGGAAGAGCACAATGATGGTGCCAACTTGGGCCAGTGAAGCAACGTCCTCCACAGCTAGACTGAAGAACAAAAGGACAGCAACTTGTCTGTTCCCCTTACCCCAATTCCCCAATAAAAATCATTAAAAAAAAGAGTCATCCCCAAGACTTGAAATACTCAAAGTGTACATTTTTAAAATGTACATTTATTTTTGGAATTAAAAAAAAATCACACTATGAAGAGGTTTGAGAAGCTGCCACTTTCTCATGCTTTGTGTCTCTGTTTTAAACGTTATATTTTTCAGGGAGTACTTCCCTAACCATCCTATTTAAATTAGGTCTTCTGTGGCCCTATTTTTATTTTAAGCACACGCTTACCTGATCTTGTTACATGCCAGGCACTGTGGTAAGAGCTTTGAAGGTACAAACTCATTCAAGCCTCGCAAGCGCCCTGTAAGGTACTCTTATTTGCTCTATTTTGAGTTACAGGGAAACTGAGGCACAGTGAGGTCAGGGAGCTTGTGCAGGGCTGTATAGCTGGTGAGGAGCAGAGCTGGGATTTGAGCCCAGGCAGCCTGGCTTTAGAGCCAGCAGTCTCAGCACTGTGTTCTGCCAGCCCAATCCTAGCTTTCCATGTACTTGGCCCATCGTCTTCCTCCCCCTCCAGATGCTAAGCCCATCACACTTGCATCCACTTTGCTTAGCACAGTCCAGTGAATGGATGACAGAATGAGGAAGGGGGAAGTCGCCCATAACCCAACTACCCTAGTGCAACAATTATGATAATTTGGACAGATTGTAGATCTTCAGACCATGGGTCAGAAACGACTCCTGCCAGCCCTGTCATCGTCTTTGTGGGGCCAGAACAGCTGGCTGTGCCAACACACCTGGGGCTAGTGGCCAGGGAGGTGCCTCATGTCAGTGCCTCATGTTGGCGCCTCATGCCCATGCCCGGCTCCTGATTGGCCTCCGCCTGGCTCTCTGTCTTGCCCTTGCCCTTGCTCACATGCTCCCTGTCTCTCTGAGCCTCCTTATCACTGTCTGCCGGTCTCACCCACTTCTCTGTTCCCATCTGTGCCTCCAGACCCTCTCCAAAGCCACTGGGGTTTGAGGACAGGAAATAGACATTTTATTTTCTAATCACTGTTGGGCAGTGTAAAACACACGTGAGCACAGCTGGCAAAACATGCGGGCAGGTAGCTACTTTGAGATCCTGAAAAGCCACATAAAGTCGAGCTATCGGTTACTCTGTGGATTTGGAAGCTGCTGGAATCCCAAGGATGGCTGCCCCTTGCAATGGTGGTGACAAGGGGTGGCTTGGGGGTTTAGGTACCCCCAAGCTTCCATTAGTCCCAAATAAACACATACTATAGCTAAAAGCAGTGTGTTTGCTATAAAAACACACCTGCATAATGAACCCCTGGACCCCATCCCACCCACTGTCCTTGAGCCTCCCCTCCCGCCCTGAACAAACTTTGGAGCCTCCAGATCTCATAGCGGGGTCTGCCTGCTGTCTCTGTTTTGCTCATCATCTTCCCTCGAGCCTTTATAACAAGTGGGGCTGGAAGACTCAGTTTGCTCATTCATTCATTCATTCATTCATTCATTCCTAGTCCCAGGCACATGTTGACAGTTGCCTAACACACTTTGGATGACAATCCAAAGCAGTAGAAGAGACCGAGGAGGCAGGGTATCAGGGAATTTCAGAGGTGGGCTGAAGAAACACCTGTATGGAAGAAAAGTTAGATGGCAGTGCAGGGGTTAACTGACAGCACGTTGGCAACAGCATCTATCAGAGGTGGCTGTGATGTGTCAAAGGTACACACAGGACACACATCAAGATCCGAGTCCATAGGCAGGAGGGATCCTTTGGGCTGGAGGGAGGAAGTCAGGCTTTGTGGAAGGGTGGATGTGCCCTGGGGCTGGAGGATGAGTAGGAGACGACAGCTGGCTAGTGGGGGGAAGGGCGTTCCAGGCAGAGGACTGGCATGAGGCTTGGCCAGCAGAACCAGAAACACAGCTTGGGATTCTGTGATGAATGGCCCAGGCCGCATGTCTGAATAATGTGCCCAAGGCAGGCCGTGAGTGTGATGCTGAATGTCAGGGCTGCCCACAAACTTAGAAAGAAATGCCTGGAAACCCACATGTGGTTCACAGCACACAAACCAGGGTGGGGGAAATCACACATGGAGCCATTCTAAGTTCTCATTCAATAAGAGGACACTACAGACTGATGCGGTTCACAGGTGATCAGGTGCGGGCGACGGTCCTGGGCCTCTATCCTGGGGTACTCGCAGGCCACAGTGGGATGGAGGCTGGAGGCTGAGCATCTTCAGGTGCAAGGACCCCCATGGGAGGTGACTTCAGGCCTCACCTGAGCTGGGCCAGCTGCAGGGTCCTTCCAGTCCCCTGTTCTGTGCTGAACTGACTTGGTCTTGGTCATATAGAGGATAAGGTGGTACAATAGGCTGGCCTGGGCATATGTCCCCTGTGTCAGTCTCTCCCATAGCCTGTTGGTCCTGACAGACCTCTGACCACTTTTGTAGCCAGAGATGAGTGGGACCTACTTCAAACATTGCCCTAATGTTGGGACCTCACTGTCCTCCATTCCATCAGAAACCAGTCAGTTTTAAGAACAGTTTTCCAGGCCAGTCTGAACCCTGCCAGTTCAGGAACAGCATATAGCAGGCATATGGTGAGCACCCAGTAAACATTTACTGGTGGAATTCCCATTCCCCACACCACTGACAGCTGACTGCCTCCTGGACCCTTGCCCGGGCAGCTTCACCCTCTTCCCCACCCTCCAAGCCTCTACAGAGGCAACAGCTGCACCCTCTCCTCACTTTTCTGATGTGGAGGAGGCATCTCTGTTGGTGTTCTCACCATGGCTATACCACCCTCATGTACCTCTCACCTCCCTCTCCCCACCTCAGGTGTCCAGGAACCAGCCTGTTGGGACTCTCAACTTGCTGGCTGGCCCCCATGGTGGCTCCTTGGGAAGAGCTTTCAATTAAGATGGCAAGTGGATGTGAAGACCTAACTGGGGGAGAACTTAGGAGGACAAGCAGCAGAGTTTTCTGTCCATATGAGGCCAGCTGGGAAAAGAAAGTCATCTGAAATACAATATAAGAGGGCTCTGTCTATATACATATATGTGCATTTAAGTTTATCTATAGGGCGTCTTTGCATGAATGTACAGATGTATGCTCATAGGTTGGCTGAATGGATTTTTTCCTACTGTTCTACTTCCATCCACATCAGCGTGTCTCGGGTTGCAAAGTCCTGGGGTTTGGGAATAATATCTGGGAAGGGGGGATAGCACCCACCACAGGTATTCAAGTGGAGGCAGAACAACCACTTAGGATTGTTTAGGCATCGCAACATCATATGAGGAGTGGAAATATGAGGTCCCTTTCATGCTGATGAATCCGATTCCAGACCACTTTGCATAGTAACCCAGACATAAGGAAATGGATGCTGCTGTAGTTTGAGGTGTGGTGTTTGAGGGTAATGTGGCATCGGTGCTCGCTGGTCAGAGGGACTTGAATGCAAAACTCCATAATTGTGTGCTCCTGGGCACATCTCCCAACCTTTCTGTGCCTCAGTGTCCTCATCTGTAAAATGAGGGTGACAATAGTACCTGTTAAGGGTTGTAGTGAGAATGAAGGAGAGAGCACACAGGACGCTCTTCGTGTGTGACTTGTGGTCAGTGCTCCATCAGTGTTGGTGTTGGTTGTTAAATTGACATTGTGGCTCTTGTGGAGGACCCGGTCTGAAACACATGGGTCCTCAGGTGACCCATCTGACTCTATGGGGTCAGTCTGTCTCCCCACTTGCCAGCCTTACTCCTGACTTAAAATTCCCCTGATGGACAAAAGCCCTCCCACCCTTGAAACTCCATCCCCCAGTCAGTTCAGATGGACACCAGAGCGATGCTGGCCAGAACCCACTCCCACTCTAATAACTTCGGCTTCAGCCAGGGTTGAGCTGGAGCCTTGGAAGGGACAGACCATCCCATCCCAAATTCTGAGGTGTCATTGCTTCCTGGCCCAGTGACACACTCCTTTATTCCCTAAACTAACTGGAGTCTGAGCTGTGTTCACGTGTTACGATGCAGGAAGGATGAGCAGTCTGGCTGGCGGCAGCTCAGCAGCTTGCTTTTGGGTTGTGCAAATGAAACTTATGCAAACAAAGCAGCCATTTAGGCTCCTAATCCCTTCATCCAGGTTTCCTTTCTGAGAACAAGACCAGGCTTACTCTTCAGTTGTGCTTCTGAGCTGAGTTCCTGACAAGGTGGCTTTCCCAGGCTTTGTCTCCTCCATCCTGGAGAGCCCACATTCGGTGTCATCGCCACATAGTAAGGGGTTGGGGGGTCGGGGGAAGGAGGTCCTCCACCACAACTGCTCCACTTGGGACGCAGGCCGGAAGCCTCAAAGTTTAAGTCTGAGACTTTGGAAGGGATTGTCAGAGCCAACCCCGTCCTTTCAAAGATGAGAAAGCTGAAGACAAGAGAGAGGAAGAAAGGTCCACTGTTAAACCACGCTGGCTGAGGAGGACATGCCCCCACTCTCTACCCCCGAAATAAACCATATAAAGTGGCCTCAATTGTTGGTCAGTTTTGCCTTTTTATGAGAGTCTTCTTTGTTGAGAGGGCTGAGAATCCCCATGCAGTGCTCTTTGACTTAGCAGATTGGTTGAGCTTTTATTAGGAGGGGAAAGCTTGGCATCCCCAAGTTGCTACACCTCTGTTCTCGGACTTGGGAAGAAAGGGGCCCTGAGAAGCCGCATCTGTCTCTGGGGAGGGTCTTTTGGGGAAAGGAGTGTGAGTCGGGGATGAAGAGAGTGGGGCCCTGGGCTTCCAGGAGAGGGAGGGTGGGTCCTTCAGCTGCCTTTAAGAGGCCTCTTGCCCTTTCCTGACTTCATAAACCTGGAGCTCGTGAGAACCTGAAACATGTAAGAACTGACAGACTCATTTGCATAATATTTCTAGGGCGATTCAGCTATGTGCGGCTTGCTGGTAATAGGAACAGCCCTTGTTTCTGACCCGTGCCTCCTGTAGCTCTCCTTCTGCCGACCCCAATGCTTGCTGGAGCATTTACTGTTTGTTAAACTTGTAATGATCATCTTACTATGTTCCATCAGGAATTCAAAGATGAAGCCAGCCTGTATAGCCCCTTCCCTGTAGGGAAGGTCAGGCCTGTGGTTGCAGGTAGGTGGGTCGTATGAGGGTATCACCCATGGGTGCCCCTAATTTGGACTGAGAACCCCCCCAAACTAGGCCCATCTTTCTGTGCCTGCTTGCGTGACCTATTTTCTAGCTACAAATGGCTAGCATTACCTGTTCTAAACATCTGGCATTACCTGCTTGCTTAGTCACCATCCCTCTGGCTTCAAACAGCTGGAGGGCCCCACCCTGTCCACTTCCATCTGGGCTTCCTCCCTCCCATTTTTTTTTTCTGGAAGGATCTGGAGGTACCAGATCCACAGGTTCTGATCAGCTTTAAAAGGATCGGCTTGGGAAATGAGGCTCATTTGGGAGCTGCGGCATTCACCTTGACTCGAGTGAAAGTCTGACAGCCAATCCTATTTTGGCCTCCAACTGGGCACTATGAGGGCCTGTGTTCCCTTGATAGTGGCCATGCTCTGCGGCCTGGCCTGGGCTGGTAAGTCACTATCTGGCGGGGATAAAAGGGATCCTGCATAAAGAAGCAGGTATTTGGGGAACTTGGTAGAGGGTGAGGGTAGTGGGACAAGCGCGGTTCAGCTCTGTTCTAAATTCACGGAGCAACTTACACCTGTCTTTGTCTAAGGTTGTGGGAGTTGCTTCTGGTGTGGAGTGGACTGTGTGAAGGGACTTGCAGGGCTGATGGACTAATGTCATGGAAACCCCTTCTTGACACCTTGGAAGATCAGCCCCAAGCATCCCTTAGTCCAACCTGCCTTTTGATCTCACTAAGGATTTGTTTGTCAGGGCCACTGCATCATCGTATAAAGCTGGGGCTGTGGTTTGCTGGGTTTGAGTGGCCTGGTTTCCCTTGGTTACTCCCTCCACTGCCTGGGGTGGGACCTGTGTGTGTGGGTAAAGCCTTAGGAGATGAGAAGGCTCAGGGGAAACTGGGAGGGAGAGCCCCTGACCAGGAGGTGGGTCACGTGCTACCTGGTGCTGTACAGGTGGTCAGAGGAATCGGTCTTTGTTCCAGTGTTAGAAGAACGAAAGCATAGAGAAGGGTCCTGGCCCACAGTTACTAGTGGCACAGGGGATGGAATGCGACCAGCAGAGGAATGGGAACACTTTCCTGTTTAGTAGCTGTGCAAAATGCTGATGTGGATATGTTAATTGGTGGTTAATGGGTGAGTAAAAATGAGTGCAAAGGGAGGGGGCTGAGCTGAAGGGTGTGGGGAGAATTTTCCTCTGCCCAGAGGAGAAAGGATCAGCGCTTGATGCCCATCCCACCCAACCCAGCTGGTTCTGAAACAGGACTGTTGCAAGGACTAAATAAGATAATGCATAAGAAGCACCATACATGGGGTGAAGCCTCAGTGAATTGGGGCTTTGATTAGGATTATAAATATTCGTGGGAGAAACTTATTCTTGGAGTCATTTTCAGCAGGTTGTGGATAAGGAGACCCCTGATGGGATTCCTAAATGGGAAAGCTTTCAAGAGGAAAGCTGTTTCCAGGCCTCCCAACACTGGATGGGACCATGTACCTCTATTTTGGCACATACTGCTGAGCAGCCAGGAAATCAGTTCTGTCTGGGCCCTGGGTGGCGGAGAGCCAGTGGGAGAGAGTGAGGCAGGGAAGGCATGAGAACTTCTAGCTTAGTGTTGGGTGGCCTCCAGTTTGGGACAGCCCAGTCTCAGGAGAAGAGAGCAACTCGAGACTTTTGGTCCCTGGGAAAGGGGGGGATCACTAAGGGCAGAGAGGCAACAGTGGTTTCACAAGTCCAGGTGGAGCCCTGGCCCCTGCGGGTGGTGATCTGCTTGGCTGTGGCATTGATGGGGAAGTGAGGGGCGAATGGGTGATGCCTTCTTTCTTAAGGTGGAAGGAAAGAGCTTCTGTTCTTGTCTGTCCTGTTCCAACATTTCATAACTTGGATGCAAGAACAGAAATCACCTGGGGGAGTCAACGCCAGCCTCAGGTCCTTGGTTGTTTCAAGTGAACTGAGGCAGGAAGCTGGAAAAGCATCTTCTTGGTTGACTAGCTCTCCATGGGAAAAGCATCTGGGCCCCCTAGAGAGAGGCACAGATATAGGATGCCCCAACTATCAGAGGGGCTGAGCACTGGCATATAGGGACACCCAGGTTGGGACCAGTCTCTCTTGGTGGGTAATATGGACAGCGAGTGAGTGTTTTGACATAATCACATCTTGAAGGGTTCAGAGAAATGTCGCATTTCATTGGGAGGGGTGTGGCTAAGCTCTTCACAGGGAATGGAGGGTGAATCTGAGTCCAAGAGAGGCCAAAATGAAGAAAAGCGGAAAGAGAGTCAGAGATGGGGCAGAGGGACAAGGGGCAAATGATACCTGGAGCAGTGAATCAGGTGCCTGGCTGGTGAGCGAGGCACATGCAGAGCGTTTGTGTGAACAGTAGGTGTGGGGTGGGGCACGGGGTGAGTAGCCAGGGTGACTAGTTACCTGAGTATCCCCAGAACAGCACAGGAGGTGCCTGTGAGGGAAAGTCCCTCCTGCCCCTCCCTTCCCCATTCAAATCCCAAGGTTGTCTTAAAGCCCATCAAGTTTACAGGGAAGCGTGAAGGATCCCTGGCCTGGGCTTCTTAGTGGGTTCAAAGCTCTTGAACAAAGATGAAAACATCCACTCAACTCTGGCCAGTGGGAGGTGTTCTCCTGAGCGCTACAGAGCTGACTATTCACTTACATCCTGTCTCAACTGGTGCCAGCTGCTGGAATGGAGTGAATTCTTTCCTTGGACTCTGCTGATCTAGTCCATTAAAATGTGGCCCTGCTTTGTCTGAGTTCTCTCCCTTTGGATTCTGGGTGTACTGCCAGACTGACTGGGCAGGCAGCTGACAGAGCCTTCCTCCCAGCCTGAAACTTTCTCCTTAGGTCTTTGCATTCAGGTTCCAAGGGAGCATCATTTAAGATTCAAGAGGAGTTCCCCTGGGCCCGAAGGGACAAGGGACCTTGGGCCTGGTCTTTTTTTAGGGACAATCGACTTGATCAGAGGCCTGCCTTCCTGGCCACATTGGAGGCCCTGTATAGAACGTGAAGTTGCCTCAGGACCTAGGTTCACCTTGACCTGATACCTCTTTGATGTAAAGAAAACAGACCTATAGCGATGATGTCAGCTAGGGTGCTGTCAGCAACAGAAATGTGCTGACACCCCAGCCCAAGGGATGGCCCAGCTGAAACCCAGGGAGGGAGCCAGCTACATTAAATATGTCGGCAGGGAGGGGAGACTGCTCTAGCCCGTCTGAACCAGTTGCCACCTTGAAGAGGGGCATGGAATATTGCCACCGTTTATTTAACAAAACACTTTCATGGTGCTACTCCATATCATAGACTGTACTAAATGCTTTACCACTAAATGCTTTACAAATATTAACTCATTTGATTCTTGTAAATATTCTATGAGATGGGCTCTATTATTATCACACTTTTACAGACAAGGAAACTGAGGCACAGACCAAATAAGTTGTCCAAGAATATATAGCTAGAAAGCAGCAGAACCAGAATCCTAGGCCCAAGCAGTTTGGTGCCCGAGTCTAGGTTTCTTATTTCTCTGCTATGCCACCCTCATTAGCACAGTATAAACCCCAATTCCAGGCTCCAAAACGGTAACTAAATCCATATGCCTAATATTCACCTCTGCCCCAATCCAGGCTAAACTGAGATACTATGAAATCACAATCAGAACCAAATCCAAAATCTAATCTATGGCAAAACTGGGCTAATTTCTCCTCTCCTAGTCGACACATTTGGCACTCCGCAATGTGGTGTGGAACCTACCCCCATTCCTTATCCAGACATCGGCACAAAACTGTTACTTTCTCAATACATTTAACTCAAGCCCAAATCTTAACTGTACCTCCTAATCTAAACCTAACTAACCCCAGCCCTGGCCCAAATTAGGTTTCAGTTTCCCCATTCACACAAATTCCGATGCTAACAGTAACTAGGACTCTGATCTCGACATTCTTCGTAACCCACAGTCTGACCCGAAACCCAGCACTCTCTAAATCCAAACCTCAGGAACCTCAAATGGAAACAAAGGCTCTGTTATCACCCTTAAAGCCCCAAGTGGAAGGAAGGGCCCCCACAGTCAGCTGTTGCACTGGCTCGCACCCTCCACAGTCTTTGCTGTGGTGGTCATGGCGGGGCTTGTTTTTTTAGGAGTGGTAGTGGGTTTGTACCGTTTCTTTTAAAATGTCTTGTTGTATGCCCCTTGTGACCAAAAGCTTGTTTTCTGCAAGCCATTTGGCTGGAGTAAGGGATGTGGTCTGTGGTTATGTAACAGATCTTATTCCAGCTGCCGCTTCTCACCCACACCCGCCTCCTTCCCCACCCTGAGCATAAAAATGCATTCTGAAGACTTGAAGAAAGAGTAAGATGTGACACAGGGAGAATGGGGTGCAGAGGAGGCCAGATGAAGGGGGGGCGGCAGAATAAGCAGGAGACTTACATGGGACAGGGTGAAAGGAAGGGGAGGGTTTAGAGGGGAGAGGGCAGGTGGGATCATTGGAGCAGCAGTGACTCACCTTCATCTACAGGACAGGTGAAGAGGTGCCCCCAGGCCACACCCAGCCCACAGACCTTACTTTGATCTACCTGAATCTTTTAAAAATTGGAAAATGTCACACAAAAATGAAGGCTTCTCTTGAAAAACAGGAGTTTCTGGCAACACAGAGCCTACATCAGCGGTTCTCAACCTTTCACAGGGGTCGCCTAAGACCGTCAGAAAACACATATTTGCAATGGTCTTAGGAACCGAGACGCCGCTCCTCTATCGTCTCCAGGCCCACATGCAGATACGCCCACATATGAGTACCTGGCGACCCCTGTGAAAGGGTCGTTCGACCCCCAAAGGGGTTGTGACCCACAGGTTGAGAACCGCTGGCCTACATCCTAACACGGCCGCAAATGGCTGGAGCTGATAGTGGCTGCCAATTTCAGGCAGAGCGCTGCCCCCAGGTGTGTCACAGTCCCCGCCTCTTCCTATTGTCTCACTGCATCTTTACTCGTTTATGTCACAGGTCTAGCCCCTGTAGGCATTTGAGTTTGTGGTCTTGGTCTATATTATGTGCCCTGCAATAGTTGGTGGGTGGTGGATGGTAGACAGTGGGCAGTGGGAGGTTTACATTGTGCATGGGAGACCGTGGTTGGACTTCTCCCTTGAAGACAGAGATGAACTTCCCTGCCAGGTGGGGCTCCTGCCCTTGTCTGTGAAGCTTCCTGCAGGGGGTACCTTGGTGAGGAGAACAGGATCCCCACAGAGCTGAACTGGTGACTTTTACTGCCCATAGGAAAAATGGAGTCATGTGCATCTCGCTGTCATAAGAAATTTAACCGGAATGCTGCCTGCCAGTGTGACCACCGGTGTGCCTCGCACGGGGACTGCTGTGAAGACTATGAGCACCTGTGCACAAGTGAGGCTCCTTAGGGGGTGAAGGGTCTGGAAAGAGCAGCAGCTTGGGCCATGTCCGTGCCCAGCCTGCCTGAGGGGCCGCTGGCTTGGGTGTCCATCAGTCCAGAGCAGGGTTCAGGACTAATGATGGGGCTTAGAGGGCTTGGGACAATGGCACTAAGGGGCACTGCAGGCTCAGGATTTGACTACTACTTGTCCCAGCTATTCTAGAATGTTCCCAGTCTAAAACCCCAACTTAATAAAAAACAGATGTCATTTACCCGGATTATCTATCTGATCAGGATTAACAACAGTATCTTGAACATATAAGTCATTCTAAAAAAAAAAAAAAAGATAAAAATATTATTTGGCATGTATTAAATTACCAATTGTTATTCAACACTTTCAATCACAAAAGTATAAAAATGGCAGCAACCTTTTCCAATTTGCATGCTACCAGGAAGACTGCATGGCATCATAGTGACTGTCACAATTGCCACCACTTTTCCTACAGTGAGTAGACTGAGTGGCTGCAACATCTGCAACCTGTCATTCCCAGGACAGCAATTAAATGACACATGCACTGCTCTCAAAAGCCAATCATTCTTCTGCTACTTTAATGGCACAGTTTTAAATGAGTCATTTTTAAAAACCACTTTGAATAATCCCCTTCTTTGTGCTGCCAATGTTTAAGACTTTCAGACAAATGATCTTCTGCTTTGTGATAGGAAGTGTTGCTTAGTTCACTGTCAAACCACGTGTTCTGACTCCCAGTTTGGAAAACATGGTCACTGAAGCCGTGGTAGATAACGGCCAGATAATGGCAAGACCACTGTATATGGTTGTGTAGGTTGTGCACTGTAAAGGGCACCAGGCTGAGTAGGCAAAATGGACCAGAATGGAATCTGTATCCTTCTTGCTAAGCCATGTGTCTTGGTGCCAATCTGTGTCTGCTGAGACCCTTGAAAAGTGCCTTTTCCTAATTTGCCCAAAGGTGGTTATCTGCTGACCCAGTCCTGTGCTTACAGAGCTGCTTCCACCCAGAAGGAAACTTCAATCAATTTATACAGGAACACCATATATAACTAGTAGAAGCTCTGCTGGTCAAGCTCAGGCAGGGAGAACCAGGCTCAGAGCCCACTGTCAGATTCAGAGCCTACCCCATTTCTGCTGCTTCTGTGCCCCATATAGCAGACACAAAAAGGCCTGTTCACCTTGGACCATCAGGCTGGCACATCCTGCTAGAAACAACACTCAGGGTAGAAGCCATTTCTTCTCTAACTCTCTGATCTGCAACTCAAAATACTATCAATGATGGTTGATACTCTAGATCAGCTCACCAAAGTCTATTAGTATAAAATGTGGCTAAGAACCCTGTCAGCATTTAGAACACAGCCTGGCACAGGGTAAGTGATCAGAAGATGTTTTCTGACTGAATCAGTAACCTGACTCATGGTTCTGACTGTAGTAACATAATAGTACCCAGTAAACTCACTAACAGATTCTGAATCACTGTAATAGCGTTGTTTCTTGGGGGGAAATTATTCCCCTGTGTGATGAGAGAGGAGCTCTGAGTCCCTAGGAACATTCCTCCTCTTCCTCCCCACCCCCACCACACCCTTCTCAGCCCACAGTGGAGGCTGCAGTCACTAAGCTTGCAGGCAGATGGAATGGAGCAGCAATAGGAATGTGCTTTTCTGAACACGCCTTCTCCCCCCCCACACACAGCCTTTGTGGCTATTGTCAAGTGTTACAAAGAAAGAAGGGAAGCTGGTATCTCAGGAAACAGTGCTTATTCCTGGAGGCTCTGGGAGGGTTTCGCCCTTGCCTCTGACTGGAAGTTAGTATAGGTATGGGATGTTCCTAAGTGAGGGTATTATCATTTGGAGCGTGCCAAGCCTATCCATCTACCAACTTCCATTAGAGAAAAGTCATATCCAAAACCCGAGTTTGCAATCCAGAAGGGACCGCTTCCTGCCTCCTCCCCACCCCACTCCCGCCCCCCCCCCTTTGACAAATGAGACCCACAACAATCAAGTTTTGGATTGTTTTAATAAGTTTTCAATAATCTGTCCCCTTCTAGCTTCCATTTTCAGTTTTTTCAGTCTCCTCCTTCACTTGGTATTTATTCATTGTGCCAGAAGCCCTGTTTTGTATTTTCTTCCACTGTATATGCTTGTTCCTGAGGCTGGGAGAACTGAGAACCAAAGACAAGGGGGAGGGAAGCCTAGGGGATGGTTGATGACTTTAATTTTCTGCCCTTCAGCTGAAGAGGACCCCACAGAGCCAGAGCCATTCCTGGAGCTGGAGGAAGAGGTCCCACCTAGCAGTGAGTCTGCCTCCCCGAAGAGAGCCTTCAGGATAAAGGAGGAGAGACAGGAGAGGGGTGGCAGGGGCGGGGCACCCATACCAGAGGCAACAGGCCCTGGCCTAAGCCAGATGGACCCCAAATCCAGCACCTGGAGGTATTAAGAGGGGCTCGCTGGACTCTTGGGGCCAGGGTAGCAATAAGCCTGGGGGGGCCTCAGCAGCTTGGGGGCGTTTTCAGGAAAGAGACTGTGAGGCCTGTGGAGAGGCCAGAGAGGGAAGTGGAAGAGATCTTATTTTTAGAGTGGGACGATTATAAAAACAACAGGCCAGAAAGTAGAGTTTGGAATCAGAAAGGACTTCCTGACTGTGAAGGGTGTGCACCAATGAAGCCTGTTTGTTTTCCTTCCCTGGAGATCGTTAATAGACAAGTAAGGAGAGCAAGGCTGAGAGGGGAACTAGCCATGGCAGAGCGACCTCTAGAGGTCCACCCAGCACATCCCCCCCACCACCGCCCCACATCCTCCCTGTTCTTTCAGACTTGTACTCGGCACCCAACTCCTGCCGGGGCCGCTGCCAGGAAGCCTTCGACAAGCACCACACATGCCACTGCAATGTCCGCTGCCCAGAGTTTGGGAACTGCTGCAAGGATTTCGAGAGCCAGTGTGGCCAAGGTCCGTCTCCTGCTCCCTTTAGCCTAGGCCCAGGAACAGAAGGACTCTCTAGACCAACAGTTCTCCAAGGGGGTTCTGAGTGGGCAGTGTCAGCATCATCTAGGAATTTATTAGAAGTGAAAACTCTAGGGCTTCACCCTGGACCTACTGAATCTGAAACTCTGGGGGGTAGGGTTTTAACAGACCCTCCTGGGGCCCACCCATGTGTTTTAACAGACCCTCCAGGTGATTCTGATGCATGCCGAAGTTGGAGAACCTTCGCAGAGGACGGAAGCAGTGTAGACATTCTGTGGGCACGGCCATGTGCTGATTTTAATGACCCTTTAGGCCTGAGGCCCCTGTCCTCCGGCCACTGGGGTGCCTGGTCACAGCCCCTCTCCCTCGCTGTCAGCTTCTGGAAGGTGCTCAGAAGGGGATGCACACAGATAGTTGCCTTCCCCTGGCCTCCCTCCTGCTCTGAGACACCCCTTCCCCCAATTCCTCCCAGAGGGCTTCTCCCACAGCAGTGATGCCATTACCAAGGAGGAGCTGCAGGCCATCTCTGAGAAGATCTACAAGGTGGACGCCAACAAAGCCCAGAAGGACGACATCGTTCTCAATAGCCAAAGCTTCATCTCACCCTCTGAGACCGGAGACCAAGTGGATCACTGCCCGGAGCCGTGAGTTCCCTTCACTCCTCTTCCTGCGAAGTCTCTCCCCCAAGTTTGCTTTGTTTTGATGCCTCAGCTCTTTTCTTCTCCAGGCGGGCAGGATCAAAGGGAGAGAGAGAGAGAGAGAAAAAAAAACTAGATCTCCAGAGACAAATAAAGCCATCTTGAGGGACTGCAGGCATCCTGTTGGGAGGGTTTCTGTGACAGGCCAGGCTGAGAACAGAGCAAACCTTTCAAGAGCTGAAGTGTAAGAAAAGAGCGGCCTCATGCGTGGCCTTCAAGGGTATCTGAAGTCCCTACTCCGCTCCTGAACCCAGCCTTCGCAGGCCTGTCCCGGCCTGTCTGGCAGTTCCTGGAAGGGTTTGTGTTCCATCTCAGGCCTCTCACTGGGCCTCCTTCCACCTCCTCAGGCTCTTCACGTACGTCAATGAGAAGCTGTTTTCCAAGCCCACCTACGCAGCCTTCATCAACCTCCTCAACAACTACCAGCGGGCAACGGGCCATGGGGAGCACTTCAGTGCCCTGCAGCTGGCTGAGCAGGACGCCTTCCTCAGAGAGGTCATGAAGACAGCAGTCATGAAGGAACTCTATGGCTTCCTCCATCACCAGAGTGAGTGAGCCCTCCCCAGGTCCCATGAGGCAGTGCTGAGGACTCGGGTTTGTCTACAGGAGAACCAGGCACCTCAAGGGGATCCCCAGTGGGGAGGTTAAGAGCACAGGTGGGGACTCCATGGTGGCTGTTACACATTTGGAAGGGGACAGGGAGGGGACCAGGGAGGAACCCAGAGAGATTGTGGACCCAAACAGGAGCTGGGTCCTCTGTCTTGGAATTTACCCCATCTTTTGATTTACTCTCAGCTGCCTTGTTTGTCCCCCCACTCACTGCAGCAGTCTCGGGGTTCTCTGCAGGACCATGAGGCACCCCATTCCACATAGGGCACTTGTCAGCCACCTCAGCTGACCCCAATGTCAGGACCACTTTCGAAGCTTAGAGAGTCCCTCATTCTGCTCCCTCCTCCTGCTCTAAGTCCAGGAAAGAGGTCAGCCCACTCCAAGATTTTGGTGGGGAATGGCAACAGAAAATCAACAAAGGTTCAGAGGGGGAAGTTCTACAGGGAAGGATTCTGGTTGGAGTGGCTCCAGATAGAGATACATTTGAATCAGACCAAAAAAGGTTGGGGCTGCAGGAATTCTTGGCATGGGTTGTGTTTGTTAGTGTCCTGCAGATTCCTTTCCTGAACTCCAGGCAGCTGGGCTTTGCCTCAGGGCGGCTCCAGCTTTGTATAGGTCTTTCCTCCCTGGCTGTGGGATTGCCTCTGCTCACCCCTGCTGCATTCCATCCACAGGACTCCCTGTAAGAGTTAGTAACATGCTCTGCTTTTAGGTAAAGCCAGTGACACACAGGGAATCCCTACAAGGAGGACATAGTCCTGCACTGCCTCCTGGTGTTCTCTTTGTAGTAAACACGAGAGAATCTTGGAGGTCAAGACTGAGACCTTCAACTTTTCAAATGAGAGAAATGGAGGCCCCGACAAGCTAGGTGACTTGTCAAAGGCCACAAAAGAAGTTGTAAGCAGATCCAGGCTGGAACCCAGGGCTCTGATCCCGAGGCCAGGCTGTTCCATTATTTACCTTGTCTTCACCCTTCTCACTTGTCCAAATCCCACTTGTCCTTTAAGTTATAGCTCACATCCCACTGCATTTATGAAGCTGCGTTTGCCTCAGCTCACAGCTGGCTTTCAGCCTCTCTTCAGAGGTCAAGGGTTTGGGGTATGGCCCCCAAAAAACCTTGGTCCAGAGAGACTTGGTTTGACTCCAGGCTCTGCCACTTGCTAGTGTTGTGACCTTAGACAAGTTTTCTTACCTATCTGATTCTTAACTGTGAAACTGGAGGATTAATGCATGTAAAGCACCCATTGGAAAAAGCCCTGGCACCAAGTTAAGTGGTAGCCATTCAGATTGTGAAACCATTCTTGGTTATTTTGTGTATGTTTAGTCTTGTTTTCCAAATGTATTTTAAGTCCTTGAAAGCGAATGTCAGGTATCTCTTTTGTATCTTCCACATACACAATTCTGGGCAGTAAACAGTCAATATTTGATGGCTCCGTGATTTACATCCCCAGCCCTGACCTTTCGCTTGGGTTGCAACTGCCTTTTTGACACCTCTACCTGCCTATCTAACTGGCACCACTTAGAACTTAGTGTAAAGAGTACTCATGGTTCCTGCCTCTTCCTCAGTCTTATCACATAAATGACACCATAATTCATCTAGTTGCTCAGGTCATACATGTAAGTGAAGAGTTATATTTGTTTCTTCTCTTTGCCTTACTGTTCCCATCCCCATTTCCTCCACCAGTAACATCTATCACTTCTACCTTCAAAATCTACCCCTGATCTGCCTGCTTCTCACCCCTCCTCCATGGCTGCCACCTCAGTCCAAGCCACCATCGCTTGTGACCTGGACAGAGTGTTAGCCTCAAAACTGGTCTCTCAGCTGCTCATATGCCCCGTTGAACCTTTTACACACACAACCAGAGTGATCCTTTAAAAACAAAGCTCCTAGCATATAATTCCTCTGCTTAAAACCCTTCAGTGGCTCTCTCCCCACCAAGAAGCTATAGAGTCATGAAGAGATTGGTCTCTGGAGCTAGTTTCTGTGGGCTCAAGTGGTGTCTCTATTCTTATTAACTGTGGCACCTAGAACAGTGCCAGGCACATAGAACATCCTCAGTGAATTGAAAACAGTTTTGTTATTATTACAGTGTGACTGGGATCCAACCCTCTCGCCATGGCTTACGTGATCTGTCCACTGCCTACCTCTCCGACCCCCTTTCCTACTGCTCGGCCCTCCTGCTCGCTGTGCTGCAGCCACGTTGACTTTCTTTCCGTTCTTCGAACACCAAGTTCAAGTCATTCTGGAGTCTGTGCATTTGCTGTTCCCTCTACGCGGAAGAGCCTTTGTCCCAGATCTTTGCAAGGCCAGCAGCTTATCCTCCAGGTCTCTGGGTAGTGCTACCTTCTCAGAGAGGCTTTTCTGATCTTCCTTTCTAGAAGAGCCCTGTACCCCCATCCCCACCTTCAGCACCATGGAATAGGCGGCTTTCTTTTCTTCATAGCACTTATCTGAAATCATATTGTTTACTTATTGTTTATTTGTTTATTATTTGTCTCCTCCACTGGAATGTAAACTATCAAGACAGGGCTCTTGTCTCTCTGATTCCCCGTTGAATCCTCAGCCTTTAGATCTGGGCCTGGCACAAAACAGGTGTCCCACAGATAACTGCTGAACGAACAACTGAATGTATTTGTTGGCTGAACCCACGTGTCTCCTGACGTGCTGGAGCAGGTGCCCTTCCTTGCTTCCCGGGGTATAGCCTTGCCTCCCACTCTCTCCTAAGTCCTCTGTGTTCCTCCTCCCAGACCGCTACAGCTCAGAGCAAGAGTTCATCAGTGACTTGAAGAACATGTGGTTTGGGCTCTATTCGAGAGGCAATGAAGAGGGGGACTCAAGTGGCTTTGAACACGTCTTCTCAGGTGGGACCAGTGTGCTTGGAAAGAAAGAGTTAGAGGGATAAAGAGAGATGGCTTCCCTCAGGAACAGGGCACCGCTGGGCATTGATTCACCCGCGGCCACCCCAGCTGACTGGGAGGGACACGTCTACTCCCAGGCCAAGAGGGAGGGGGTCTGAGGAGCTACTGCTGAGGAACAGTCTCTCTGGAGTATTTAAGGGAGAAAGAAGACCAGATACTGGGGCTCCCAAGGGGCACATGTAGGAAGGGAGACTTGTTCAGGGCCATGGCCATCTACCTCTGGATGGTCCTCTGCTTCCAGGGCTTGGTCAGCTGCTTCCCAAGAGGGCCCTGGTCTTTCTCCCCACTGTCCTCCCCCCAACTCCTCCCCCCCTGCCCTAAGGCTCCCACCAAGTCTGACTTGCTTCTGAGGAAATGGATGAGAGGAATATCTCAGATTGGTCACCAGGGTCAGCCAGGAGGGGGAATTATCCCAAGGGCTTGAGCTGAAAGTGGGGTCTGAGGTGAAAGGGAGGGATGCGAGGGACTCTGGGAAGTCTGGGCAAGGGGCTGAGCAGGTGGACAATCTAGGAGTCAGAGACTTGAGAAGGGAGACAGCCCTGACATGGTAAAGGGAAAGGGGTTGGAGGGTAGTCCCAGATCACCCACTGTGGACTCTTTATTTATAGGCGAAGTCAAAAAAGGCAAGGTCACTGGCTTCCATAACTGGATCCGCTTCTACATGCAAGAGAAGGAGGGCCTGGTTGACTATTACAGTTACATCTATGACGGGCCTGTGAGTATTGAATGCTGACCCATGGGCTGGAAACACCTTGTTAGTACCCAGGCTTCCTGCCTGCATTCTGCATTCTGAACAGTCAGACTTGTCTCTCACCCTGACCCTCACTGGCAGCCTAAGGGGGATTGTGAATATGACTTCCCCATCTGCTGGACAGTGGGTTGAGCCAGCCAGGATGCTGGGATTCCCTTCCAAACAGTGAAGGCTTCACAACAGCAGGGGAAGGAGGCAGAGGGCATCATCTTTGGATGGGAGGATGGGGGCAGGGGAGTGTTCTCAGAGGGGAGAACCAAAGACACATAATTACCTCCTGCCTGGCTTTCCTTAGAATGTGGTGTCCGCTGGAAGTTTCAGTCTGGCACGTCTCAGTTAAACTCCTTATATTTTATAAGAAAGAAACCTTTGCTGCCCCGTGTCAGGGAATAATTTGGGGGCAATAAATGGTCCTTGTCTTCCACGTGTGGGGGCCAAGGGAACAGTTATGTCCCTGCTCCTCAGGCATTGGTCATATGAATGCTAACCCTGGCCTCCCTGGGAGACATGCACTGGCAGCTCCAGACAGAGGGTCTGAGTGGGGTTTATACATCATAGCAGGACCGACTATTGACTCTGTTGATTTAAAGAATCCCTAATCCCTAAACACAGGCCCCTAATGGGCCCTCAACAAACCGTAGCTGACTGCTGCCATTTGCCACCCTCCAGTCTGCCTCCACTCTGTGGTATTCACCAGACACCCTTTCTGTCCCCAGTGGGAGTCTTACCCCGACGTGTTAGCCATGCAGTTCAACTGGGACGGCTACTACAAGGAAGTGGGCTCCGCTTTCATTGGCAGCAGCCCCGAGTTTGAGTTTGCGCTCTATTCCCTGTGCTTTATCTCCAGGCCAGGCAAAAGGTAAGCACTGGGCCAGCTGGACCTGGGGAGCAGGCTGGGGCCACAGGCTGTCCTCAGCCAGGACCCTCAGGAGACCTGGATCCTGCCACTCGGTGGCTCAGAGGGCACGCACACATCACCGTTCTGGGCCTCAGTTTTCTCACTTGGGAAATGAAGTGGTTAGATTAGATTGATGGCTGCCAAGCTTCATCTGAGCAGCAGAACCTTAACATATAAAACAGTGAGAAATGGAGTTGCCCAGGTACGCCAAGCCTCTCTAATTGCCCCCCGAGGCTGCTTGGGGGGAACCCAGAGAGAACAGTTGAAACCTCTGTGCCTCATGTTCTCTAACATTTAAGGACTCTGGGTCCTGCTGCTTCTGCAACCCTAAGCAGACATTTAATTTCTGAGGGTTCAGCTCTATGATTTGGGACTTTAAAATACTGGTCTGGGAAAGATGAGGAGCAGTGTTCTTTAAGTAGAAAATAAGACACAGATTTTGAAAGGGCTCCCTGCGCGTGGGGAGCTGACTCAAGCTGTGGCAACTCTCTCAGAGGCCTTTTAAGACAAGATGGAGCCCTTCTGCAGGGGTTGTGCTTGATCCTTCCCACCTAGGGACCCAAGGTGAGTAAAGCAGATCCCTATGATTTGATGATTTTCCCCCCGCAGGTGCCAGTTAAGCCTCGGTGGACATCCCTTGGCCATTCAGACCTATACCTGGGACAAGTCCACGTATGGAAATGGCAAGAAGTACATCGCCACAGCCTACGTGGTATCTTCTACCCAATAGAGCTTCAAGCCAGAAAGGGGCATGAGGGCAGTGAGCGCTCTTAGGACTGAGGTGCTATCTGCTTTGGGCTGGAGGAGACTGGGAGGGATTCCCATATCCAGAAATATCCAGATGGGAAAGAGAGAAAAGATACAAATTAGAAAAATGCAGACAAACAGTCAAATCTTTGTCCTCCAGCATTTTGGAAACAGCATTCAGACAGAGAAGGTGGGCCCTCCATAGCTCTTTGCTCTGACGGGAGCTGGAACTGTGAACAAGTCCTTGACCTCTCCAGGCCTCATGTTTCCTTATAATGTAAAGGGAAGGGATTTGCACCCTTTCTTGTTTCTAGGGTTGGTGAGAGGGCAAACCTGATGATATTATTACTGTGAAGATGTTATCAACTGTTCTTAGGAAGAACGGCTGATAGAAATTCAGGATTACCATAATGGCTGTTATTGTACACAGCTCTGCAAACTGTGATTCAGCCCTATGTTGGGGACTCAAAGAAATCAGGTCATGGAAACCAAGCACAGTGTTTTCCAGGGTTGGATCCTCTCAGAACAGGGTCTGGGAGAACTTCAGTGCTGGACAGAGAGGGGAATGGGTTGGTGCAGTGAGTGGGCTGGGGAGGGGTCAACTTCTTGCCTGAGGGTTTTTGCTAATTTAGTAACTGCATCAAGAATCTTCCTACTTACAGACATTTAGTGCAGTTACAGAGCTGGATTTTGATCCCAAATAGTTTTGTGAAAGAGTTCCCTCACAGGAGGAAACTTCTGCATCAGAAGAAGAAAGAAGCCTGTAGCTTGGTGTCATTAACATTAATTATTTTAAGACTTATCCATCAGCCATAATTTGCATAAACTCTAGAATGGAAGATCAGGGAGACTGGGTTCCAACCTCAGTTATGCATCTCCCCTAACCCCACTGGGAACCAGACGCTGTCCCTCAGAGCCAGGCTTGAAATACAGTTTAGAGGGTTCGAGTCTTCAATTAAAGTCATTTTAAGAAAACTTGAAATGTGTCTCTTCTGTGTCATTGGCCCCTTTCAACTATCTCCCTTCCTTTTCCCTGGAGCAGGGGGCTGGGGGTGCTGCTTCTGGCTTTAGTGTCTCTTCAGGATGTCTTGGAGAATGTGGTATCTTGACAACTCAAGTCTCTCTAGCCGAGATGGGGAGAGAATTCTTCCTGGTGGACTTGTAATACAAAGAGCGGGAGTGTATTCTGCTTTCCGGGTTCTCATAGAAGGAGCTTGGAAGTCACTACTCCATCCTAACAATTGGATGGGCTGAAAAACTAATAATTCTTCTTGGAGCCATAAGAGAAAGGAGGGCACAGGCAAACCACTGCCCTCAAGATTGGAAAGACAGGCGAAGATAGTGAGAGACAGCTTACTGGGGCAGAAACTCAGGCGAGGACACCAGTGCTGGAGTAGGAATGGCTGGACTGTAACTGAGGAATGGCTGGAGGCTCAGTGTAGATGGCCCCGAGAGTTAAAAACTCCGGGGGACCCAGCCATATGAGCCTCCACAATATTGTAAGATTTACCTCCAGGAGTCCGACTAGGTTTCTATACTAAATGTCTGAGAAAAATCCCCTCAGACTTCTGGCACAGCCAGGAGAAAAGAAACCCTTTAAAAATGTATCCTTCCTAACAAAGCCTGTCCTCAGGGGAAGCTACAATAGTTCTCCAGAGCCTGGCCTGCTGGGATAGTATCAGAGCCTGACCGACCTGGAGAAGGAAAATACCCAACTCCAGCCTACTGTAGCTATCTGTCCCATCTCAGGAGGAAGGAAAAAACCTGAGAAAAACCTGTGAAGTTCACAGTCCAGAAGAGCAGGCTCACTAAGAGACTGAGGCCTAATCATAGGACTTGTCCTCCCCCCACACCTCACCACCACATTACTAAAGGCCTCTTGATAGCATTTCCTTTTACTGGGACATCATGTTTGGCCATCAAGAAAAAATGATAAAGTATACCTATAGTCAAAAAACACAATCTGAAGAGATAGAGCAAATGTCAGAACCAGACATAGCAGGGATATTGGAATTATCAGATTTTTAGGGCAGTGAACATACTCTGTATGATATTATAACTATATAGTCATTGTCCAAACCCATTGCACAACACCAAGAGTGAACCCTTACTTAAACTATGGGTGACTCTGATGTGTCAATGTAGGGTCATCCTTGGTTAAAAAAAAATGTACCTTCTGCTGAGTGATGTTGATGGTAGGGGAAGGCTATGCATGTGTGGGGGCATAAGGATATGGGAAATCTCTGTAACTTCCTCTTAATTTTATTGTAAACCTAAAACTGCTCTGAAAAATAAAGTCTTAAAAAAAAGAGTGGAAAGAGCACTGCACTTAGACAATGAGCAGGTAAATGGGGACTGGTGGTCCCCAGTCCCAATAACCAGCCCCTTGACCATGTACACAGGAACACCTCTGGGTGCAACTTCTGTGGTTGCAGTGGCTGACCAAACTGAATGAAGAGGAGGTGCTACAGAGATACACCAAGGGGCTTCTCACTGTAAATAGTCATTTAGGCACATGTTAGAAGAATGTCACGTATGAAGGAATAGCTCAGGCAAGTTACGAAGCACTGATGGATGAAACAGGGCCTCACCATGCCCTCCTCAGGGGAGTTCACAGTCAAATGAGCAAGACAGGGTCAGTGGAACATGGTGGTCACAGGTGCTGGCTCTGAAGTCAGACTGCCCAGGTATCTCACCAGTCACTTGTTGGTTGTATGGGCAAATTTCTTATGCAGATCAGTTTCTTGATCAGTAACGTAGGGACATTACCATTGTCGTGAGATAAGGAATGTAAAATAACATGCTTATTTCTTACAATTCTTACTTGTCTCACTTATTATGCAGATTTCATTTTGCACTATGAGAAGCAGTTCACCTTCCTTGCTATCAACCTTAACCTTCATCTTCTGGTGCCCAGTGCATGTCTTCTTATAGACCTCTTCAGATGTCTTCTAAGCAGCCAAGTTGGAGACAGAGAGACAGAGAGATACCACATATTCTAGGGTCTGGGCCTTAGCTTTGCAGGAGGGAGCGGCAGGAAATGACATCTGTTAAACTCTTACCATGTGCCAAGCTGCGCTATGTATGTGCCTTTTACATACATTTTCTCACTCCAGTAGGTATTTTTATCTTCACCATTTTAATTATACCTAAACTGTGGTTTAGATGAAGCCTCAGTTTACAGACTAAATTCAGATTGATTCTTAGTAAGTAGCAGAATCAGGACTACAAAGTTTAACCCTTTCCCTCAGGCTAGTCAACACTTTTCCTGGATGTCTAGCAGTATTGACTGATTTATCTATTCATTCATTATTTTTTCAAAGAATACTTGTTTAGGCCTGGGATAGAGGTTACTGGTTGCCCCTCAATATCTGTTCGTCTCCTCCTCTTCCTTATTTATTGAATTCGTAGGTTTTAGATGAGCACATGACTGCCAAGAGTAAAAACTCTGAAACTCCCTTGCAGAGAGAAGGCTGCCATTACAGGCATAGTTTTTTTTGTAAGACAATGAGAGTCTCAGAAATTAGGTGATGGTGGCCATCAAGACCATTCAAGTAACTCCTCTCACCTTGATTCTGTACGACTAAGCAATTGTCTGATTAATATGTGACTTGACAGAGAAGGAGGAAAGTGGATTCACCCAAGGGTCTATGAGGTTTTACTAGATCAGCCTTTCTCTCCCATCTCTATTGACTGCCAGAATTAATTAAAAAAAAATACAGTTGCTTTTGTTAAGAACATCTATAAATCAATATCTGTTTTAAAGTTTTTTATTAGATTAATTTTTATTTTTTTAAATTTTTTTAGCTAATGATCTCCTGTAAGGGAGGACCCCTGGGCAGTTTTTCATTGACCACTACCTGGATTAATGGTTCCCAGTCTCAACTGTACAGCTGTATCTTGTGCTTTAAAAAAAATCATGATGCCCAGGCTGCGCTAATTAAATCAAAGTTCTGGGTACGGGACCTAGAAATAAAATTTTTTCATGCTCCCTAGGTGATTTCAAAGTTCAGCCAAGCTTGAGAGCCACTGATGTGGATTTTTGGAATAATGTTTGAGATCATAAAGCTGTTTCAAATAGAAATATTTGCTTGTTTCTGTTTTTGTGGGCATTAAAAATTATTATTTTTTACAATTTTAGAGTTGTTATGAAAATGAAAAAAGCGCACTCATACAGGAAGCCAAAGCAAGAAATGTTAAAAGCTTCATATTCTTTCTGCTTTGTAACCCAGGTTACATCTAAAGACAGACCTTAATATATGCGTTCTAGAATGACTCAAAGATAGACACACTTAGAAAAGGAAAGTTTACTTGCAAGGCGTAAGGTCAGACTGAAGAAGTGGTTTGCCAAATATAAACACTTAAAGGGAGGGGGGGGGAGAACTCTGCAAAACTGCCAGAATTACAAGTTTACATCGTCTATTTAATCACAGTAGAGAAACAGTAACTTTCTCACATGATTATCATACTTACAAAGGTCGTGACATATCATTAGACATCAACAAGGCAAATAAATATATTAGGGATAAAATTGAGGGAAGTCCAAGGAAATATTCAAGGCGTTATTCTTTTGGGCATCAGAACAAGTCAGGGCGACCCTGCAGTTTTTGGGTTACTTCCTGTTAAGTTGAATCATATTAGAAGGAGGCAAGGCATCAGATTTTGAATTAATACACCTGTCAATTCTCTAAGCTGATTCTGCTGGGAGAAGAAAGGAGCGTTATCTCTGACTTTCTGCGCACGCTCCAGGGGGCGGGGCAAGGGCACGCGGGGACTTGTGGGAAAAAGCCCAGGAAGGCGGGGCTCGACGCGACTTGCTGCGGGCGGGACGCGGCGAAGGTGCGGGAACTAACGGCGTGGTGAGGTGAGCCTGGTTTGCCGTTATCGCCGAGAAGGCTTTTGGGGTCGCCTGGCGGGAGAAGTGGGCCCCGCCGTGGGTCCCGGGTGAGGGCGGGCGGGGGCGCGGCCTTTGATTGGCTCGGCGGTGTCCTGGGTAGCGGCGTACGGGGGAGGGACGGGGGAGCGCGTTCCTGTCGGGGCTCGACCCGCGCGGCCCGGTCCCTCCACCCAGGCTACCCCGGGGCAGTGAGAGATTTTGCGGTGGTCAGGACCGCAGATTCACCCTCCGGAGAAGACCTTGGTGGGGCCCGCCCCCTTTCGGCGTGGGTGTGCAATGCCCGCCTTGTTGTTAGGTATGAAAGTGATACCCTGAAGCTCTGGAAGTTTCTGGTTGCCTGCCTGGACCTCAGCCCCCACCGCAGGTTCCGTGGGAGTAGTTGGGCCTGCAGGAGTGGCAGAGGTGATGGGTGAAATGGACAAGGTTTTGATCTTACTCAGCATCTTAGTGGCTGGCTGCGCTTTTAGTCATATTTTTGAGTCCTCAGCAAAGCATTGTATTAGTTTTGTTTTTTTAATGAGATATACATATGTGATCAAACATGGGCACTGGCCAAAAGAAGCTTAAACTTAGTTTACTTTCTGAGGCTAGGCTGGGGGTTCAGACCTGTCTGCGTTTGCAACGGTCCCTTTCCCGAGAATCCCTTTCCTAATCATTCATATCTCTCCCATTCTACTCCCCCTTTACTCTCCCCCCTTAAGCTTTGAATCTCTTCTCACCTTTTGGGGACCTTGCCCCCATCACTCATCCCCTTTCCTATACCTGTATCCTCTTTCACCGTGTTTCTCCCCACGGGCCTCCATCAGACTATAGCCATGCACCAATTAACGATGAAGATACGTGTGTCCTCAGGAATGTCATTAGGCGATTCATAGTTGGGCGAACATCGTCCAGTGCACTTACACAAACTTATATGGTGTGACCTACTACACAGCTAGGAGATATGGTACAGCCTGTTGCTTGTTAGGCCACAAGCCCGTACAGCGTGTTACTGTACAAAACAACTTAGATTAAATCAAGCACAAGAGAAAATGATGCAATGACGAGACACGGTAAAC